AAGTCAACGACAAGTAACCTAGCCAGCAATCAAGGTTGACGAGCTACAGTCGTCATAGAAGAAAAACTATCAGGGTTGGTAGTAAGGGAAGCAATAGAATAACACAAGCAGTTGCAAACTGAAGTCGCTGTAGAACATGGACCCAAAGAGGACTGCCATGAGAAAGTGGTGCGCGGTTGCAAGTCGACTCGTTAGTGAACGAGAAGCAAGTTTTGCAACTGCCATGATAGGTGAATCATTGAACCAACTTCATGATTGCAATCCATTGACCTCTTTCTCAGAGTGTGTAACAGCCGGATAGTTATATAGCCTTTTCGATCGATGCATTATACCTGAGCATGATCCACGAACCCAAAACAACTTTGGCCGCAGGTGCAGGGACGCAGGGATGGGTCGAGGGATGGGTTGAAGTTTGGTTTGCAAAGTTGTGCAGTCTTGGAACCATTTGCGATTTCATGCCATCAGACTTATGGTAGGGTTGGCTCAAAAGGAAACTCTCAATGTTCTATTCGGATATTCAGTGCATGTCTTTGTGCACGAAAGAGTCCCATGACCGACATCAATGTGCGCTTACATGCATGGTCCACAAGATTTCATCTTGGACTCGTTTTAAGTCAGATAGCCTGCTTGACGGCTGGCAGCCACGAGCCTCGTGCAAGCCAAAGAGTGACTACCTGGGAAGACCACAGTCCCCATGCTCGGAATGTCCAACAGTGGCGCAGGGTTTGGGGTGCGGCCCCGGCCAGTCCTAACGTCACTTTCGGAACCAATAAAAAATTACCAATCAAGAAAACAGCTCCCAAAAAGAACATGTCCCTAGCTCCGGGGTGCTATCCTGACATGGCTCCTGCTGCTAGCCCGTGGGCTCTGGCTGCTATCCTGACCTGGCGCAGGGTTTGAGGTGGGACGTGGCCCCTGGCCCTGACCTGGGCTCTGGCTGCTATCCTGTGACATGGCTCCTGCTGGCCTGGCCCCCTGGCCGTGGCCCCCTGGCCGTGACGTGGGCTCTGGTTGCTATCCTGACCTGGCGCAGGGTTTTGGGGGTGGCGCAGGGTTTGGGGTGCGGCCAGTCCTAACGTCACTTTCGGAACCAATAAAAAACTATCAATCAAGAAAACAGCTGCCAGGGATTGGGTGCTGCCCCTAGCTCCGGGGTGCTATCCTGACATGGCTCCTGCTGCTAGCCCGTGGGCTCTGGCTGCTATCCTGACCTGGCGCAGGGTTTGAGGTTGGGACGTGGCCCCTGGCCCTGACCTGGGGCTGGCTGCTATCCTGTGACATGGCTCCTGCTGGCCCTAGCCCTGACGTGGCCCCCTGGCCGTGACGTGGGCTCTGGCTGCTATCCTGACCTGGCGCAGGGTTTTGGGGGTGGCGCAGAATAAAAAACTATCAATCAAGAAAACAGCTGCCAGGGATTGGGTGCTGCTATCCTGACCTGGTGCAGGGCTTGAGGTTGGGACGTGGCCCCTGGCCCTGACCTGGGGCTGGCTGCTATCCTGTGACATGGCTCCTGCTGGCCCCAGCCCTGACGTGGTCCCCTGGCCGTGACATGGGCTCTGGCTGCTATCCTGACCTGGCGCAAGGTTTTGGGGGTGGCGCAGTGTTTGAGGTGCGGCCAGTCCTAACGCACTTTCGGAACCAATAAAAAGCTGCTAGGGATTGGGTGCTGCCCCTAGTTCCGGGGTGCTATCCTGACATGGTTCCTGCTGCTAATTAGCCCGTGGGCTCTGGCTGCTATCCTGACCTGGCGCAGGGTTTGAGGTTGTAGCACAAGCATAGCACAAGCATACCTCCTCTGACGCGCTCCCCCCTGCTTCGGCAGGGGTCGGCGGATATATAACAATAGTAATCAAAACAATATATATATATATATACTATATCAAATAAGGGCCTGCTGTTCTTGTCATCGTTGCTGTGAAACTTATGCTCTAGCTATATTAAATACACTCAAGCCGTTGGGGAGCATGATTTCAGCCACCAAGTCAAGGCAAGACTTGTTGCACTTCTCGGACCCAAGTCACCTAGACCTCAAAGACTTAAGCAAGGCATGACATCCACCAAAGGACAAAGGCCAGACGTGTGAATCGTGGAGGTCAGAGACGGCCGCCCACGTCCGGCCGCGGCTGGCAGATTTTTGAGAAATGGTCAGGGGTCATGATACCGAGGAAACGTTGAATTTCCTAGACTTCAGACTCCAACAAGTCTCTAGGAAAGTTGATGGGAGATCAGCCCAAGTATGACGATTTCTCTCATGACATAGCCACATGCGACTACAGGTATTCCGAATTCTCTTCAACTATTCCATGGCATTGCATGGTGCATGAAACATGTCTGCTGAGCGCATGGTGCCTGGGGGCACTCAGTTGATGGCTTCGATCAACTCTGGGGATGTTCCTTTGCCATGGCTTGCTAGGTGTTGACGTGTTTGTTTCAAGATCCAGATCTGCGTTTGCCATATCCAGATTCAGTTCAGGTGTTTCTTTCAAGACTCAGATCGGTGGCACAGGCATACCAGGCTTGCCAAGCCGGTTCACCTGCGCACACCGAGGCTTGGTGACTGAAGCTTCCCAAGGCAGTGGGTGGGAAGTCTTGAGGAGGATGTCGAATGAGTGGCACCCAATTGGACGGGTTTCAGCAGGTTACCCACAAATTGGATCTCTTATTGAAAACAAATCTGGGTCTTGATTTGTTCGTGTCGGTTTTCTCCACTTCATAGTGATTTGAGGATTCTTCCAAGGTTGAACAGCCCGGCATGGCAGAGCTCTTCGACAGGAATTTATTGCTATCTTTTTCTTCTTCTTCTCCTCCTTCTCCGGACAGCAGACCCTTCCGAAAGCGGCGAAAACGGTGACACTACGGCTACATCTGGTGTTTCTGCTCCACACGTCGTCCCGGTCAGGCAGGATCGTCTCTCGGGCAGGTGTTGAGGGCTCCCAGTCCGAGCTGGAGGATTTGGCCATGTCGCTGGGAGAGGCCATGGTGAGCCACATGGAGGAGGAGCAGCCTCTGTCAAGCGGAAGGGTCAGCGCTTTGATTCGGATTCGGGAAGTGGCACTTATGCGACTCATGGGGGACTCTCATGGGGAGCACTTTCTTCATTGAAACATGCTTCCCTGTTGAAGTCGGACACACCCAAACGAACAGAATCTTCTCTTAGGATGTCTGATGTCTGATGTTTACCATGGTTTTTCTTTCTTTCAACCCAACCATTCTCACCAGCAGGGCGGGTGCACAAAAGCTCCAGGTTATTTAGGAGTAGTACATTTCTCCAAGTGAATGCCGCAACCATGAGCTCTTCCGGACGCCTTACATGGGATGATCAACAGAAGTGTCGGGAAAATGGAACCCCACGCTCTGATGGAACCTGAGGTGGATCCTTGACACTCCTTCGGGGTAGGTCCACGCCACCAAAAGGCACATCAGATATGCAAGATCTCTTCAATCCAGGCATCAAGATCTTGATGTGCCTTTATATATCTTAATCAAGATGGCATCCAGTTATCTGGCTGGAATCAAGATCGTTCTGACCATCACAGCATTTTCCGGACAGCGTACCATCACTCCCCATTCCAGTCAGAGGGGCCTGACTGGGCTGATGGAGCTGGTCTCGAAAGTTGAAGGCAGGTCTCCGAGGCTCCTGAAGTGCAAGCCAACTCGTGAGGAGAGTTTTGCCACCTTGACCAACCAGCGCATGGAGCTTGAGGCCTCGTGAGGGCCTTCGGACGGACGTCTTTTGGGGACGGCTCGGTGGGTCGCGGTCGACTTGGCTGGCTGACATGTGCCCAAAAGACCTTCTGGCTGAACAGATGGTCTGGGTGGATTGGAAGGGAGCTGATTTGGCCGAAAACGGGTGCCTCCTTCAGAAAACGTGCTCCCTGGGCCCTCGACTGTGAGGTTCACAGATGTTGGGAAGCGAAGACTGGGATGGAGTGGTGGTGAAGGGACCATGGGACCGGCATCGCTGCGGATCCACCGACAGCGAACACCCCATGCTGCCAAAGTCGCCCCTGCTGGAAGACGATGGGTGGTTTCTGGCAATGTACCACGATCGGAGCTCCGAGGAACCGTCCCGAAGCGATGGACCGGATCGGAGCTCCCGGACGCCGAGCGACGCCTTTGGCGGGTGTTTGTCCAGGTGAGCAAAACCCAAAGGACGCTGACGTCCAAGTCCGCGGAGCAGTTCAAGAAGGGCCGCTTGGAGCTGGAGCTCGATCTTCCAGGCGGGTCGAGTGGACGGCCACCGCCCGGTGGTTAGGGATCGCTGGTGAGGGCCCTGCCAGGGATCGCGCATGAGTGAAGAAGGGCGTTGATGGGGAAGAAAAGGGGCATTTGGTTGGATAAGCTGATCTACAGCAAACGTCACATCCTGGGCATGGAGGTTCAGAAGAACTTGTTTCATGACTATGAAGTGCCGAAAGTGCATCTGGTCTGACGGTCTCCGGTCTCTTGGGTCAAACCCTGCACCAGGGTGGTGGACAACCCATTTGGCGGTTTTGGAACCTCCCAAAAAACACCATGCCCGTTGCGACTTCGTTTTCCTTCGACTTCGACCATGGTAAATCGTTCTCATCAAAGACCTTTCAAACTTTCACCATTCTCATTTGGAGGCGAGACACGTGAATCGCTCTTTCCGCCTGATGTTGGGGCATCTGCGTCCACAGCAAGCACCAATTCCAGGGCACTTTCGACCAGATCACCAGATTGGCTTGTGTGGAAAGACCTGGCCGAACTTGTGTTGGACACACGAAAATCAACGTCTCGATCGGCTTCGGCATCCAGGTGAGGCTGCGGCGCAATCTGTGACCATCACCTCAAAGGTCTTGGTATGGACACTTGGACCTTTGCTGTGAGGATCACCTCGCAGGGCCCCCCCAACCCCCCCGTCGGCCCCCCCACAAGGCTGGCGCCGCAGTGCCGGCATTTTGTTGCGCGTTGCATGCGTTGCGTGGAACTTGCCTGTTTTTTTCACACGCGCAGAACAAGTTCCGAGTTGGGACGGTTTTCGAAGTCCTGATCGGTGAGAAGCATCAATATGGCAACGTCTTGGCGAGGTGTGCGGGTAACATGGACTTACAAAGAACGCTTTTTGGACCTGGCACACGATTCCTTTCCTAGGATCCGTTTGAAGTAGCTGACAGAACATGAAGCGGGTGAAAGGAATCTTTGCCCGTCACTTTGATCGCATCCCCTCAAACATGGCTTTGGGTGGAACTGGTTCAAACTCCTTCGATGCAGAACACCGGAAGCCACGGAGCACCAACACCATCATCGCATGAAAGCTCATTTTTCCACTCCTGCAGCGATCTGGGATTTCTGATCTGGTGAATACCGCCTGGTGAGTGTTTCTCAATTGGAGGTACTTTTGGACTGACTGGAAACTTCTTCTCCAGGCTCCTCAAAGAAACGCAGGCACCGATTGCCATTCATTGCTGAGAAGTTTCAATCCCTGCCACTGGTGCCTTCCTGCGGAAGGAATCCACTCTTGCCATACAAGTTGGTCCTGTTGAGACTACTTGCTCCCACCAAGGAAAAATCTCTTCCGCGACCGGGCATTCCTGGCTCACCCTAAACTCCAGCAATCTTGAGAAAAGATCAAATGAGACCCAGAGTGTACATCGTTCCTACAACTTGTTTCGTGTGAGGAAAATGTGATGTATGTTTTGAGGTATACTTTGGGTCATCCTCCCCCCAAAATAGAATCACAAGCTACCCAAGGGGGTAGTGATGAATTTGAGGCAGCAAACACCTGGCAGGGCGCTGAAGCCGATGGCTCTGAAGCGCTGTGCTTTTGATGAAGATCCCTTTCTTTCCAACTTGACAGGATCCCACCCTGTCATCTTCTCTCAATCCACTGCACCCATTTTCAAACATGTTTTGAGGGAAACGCATGCAGGTTTGCTATTCACACTCCTCGCTTCCATGCTTCTGGAATCAGGTGTGTGTGGATTTACCCAGACCCAGTCAGTCCAGGTCTCTATGTACTGGGAGCCATTCTCAGTTCTACTCTTCCACGTACGTGAAGACCACCATGTATGTCCCCGCTTCCTCCCCATCAGATCCCCCAGGAATGACTATCGACCGGGACCGCTGGATGAGACGAAGGGCTTGAACGCTTACGTGCCGGAAGCAGGCCGGTTGGGGAAAAGGGTCGCGTGCCTCCTTTCTTTACTTCTGTTGTTGGGTTCGTGGCAGATGACTTCTACACTCCCTGGAACTAACATGGAAGTGGATGGCCTGGCCCCGAAAGGAAGACCATGAAATCCACTACAAACAGTTGGTTTGTAACTTCCATGTTAGTTCCAATGCTGCCTTGGCCCTGAAGATTTGGGTTTTGGCTTCAAGCCTGGACGCACGTGGGGTCGGACGCACGTGGTCTCGTGGGTTCGTGGGGTCGGAACCATGAAGTCGCCCCAGCGAGAGGTAGAGCACCATGGTTCACCCTCGGAAAGCCTGAAACTGGGCCCTCCCCACCTACTTAGCGATGGCCCTCCCCACTTACTTAGCGATGGCCCTCCCCACCTGGAATGGATCTATAGTGATCTATAGTGTTCCTGGTTCCGAGTTTCTTGCACCACATCGGTGGATGGGCAATGGAGAACATTTCCAAAGCACCTTCCAAGAGAAAGGGCAGCTTCTTTTGTTCAGGGACTCCTGGTGGTGGGCCAGGTTTTGGGGCAGGTGCAGCGGCCTAGGTTTGGTTCAGGATTTTTATTACTGCCATGAATCCTTGGATATCCTTGGGGCGATGGGCTGCATTTGTGGCCTGTCGTTCGCAGGTGAGGTCATCATCACTGAGATCAGCCAGGAGGGTCGCGGGAAGCGCATGTGGTGGGTTTGCTGCGGTTGACTCGGGGGGGGTCCCATTCTTTATTGGTTGAGCCGATGGAAAGTGGATTCACGAGCATAAAAGTCCCCTGGTGTGTGCTTTCCATGGAAGCTACAGGTATCCATCATCTCCAAAAGGTCCAATTGACATTAATTAAAGACGCTTTGTACATGACTCATGGCCCGAAATAATTGCAGCACATCTTGAGATCTCGGACAAGTCTTCGAATTCCGCAGAACTGGAGAGGTGCTCCCACAGTAGTAACATCATGGCATTTCGGACGTATCCGCTGTAGGGCACCTCGACCGTGGAGTACCCCTGCACAGCCGTAGGGCAACGTGGTTTCCAAACCACGTGACCAGGCGTTTGGAAGACCAGTTCTGTCAACAGGACCCTCCAGGAGTCACATGGAGTTGGGTGGTGTGGTGTGACTCGTCCCATCCAGGGGCCGTGGATGTGACGTTCGGGCACCCCGACTTCCTTCGTTCGGCACCCCCGTCGAAGGTGACTCCTGGCTGATGTCCACAGCATGTTTAAAGTGGAACTGCTCCGGTTGGTGGAGCACTTTCTCATCCTCCTTTCTGGAAAGGCTTCTTTTTCTTCCTTTGGAAACATGGGGCCTGGTTTTCTTCGTCCTATAGGCATTCTTCCTTGGGAGTGTCGAAGGAGTGTCGAAATCCATTTCCCCACTACTCACGCCGCGTCATGCCCACGGTCTTTTCGAACGATCGTTCGAGGACTGCGTCGACTCTCCACCGGTCGGCATTGGCACCAGGTGGGTCCGATCGCTCCGGACGAAGTCGTCGCGATGGGAGCCCCGTTCCGTTCGTAGCTTCTTGTTCCGTTCGTAGCGTCCTCTCCCACCATGGACATATACCAGGACTCCCTAAATAGGGCTTCTATTAATAGCCCCTTAGAGGCGATTCAGGGTGTCCAAAAAACCTCCCCTTTGTGGGTCCTGGTATAGTTCCAGATTCCACATGGTTGAGTTTCCTGAAAGCGCTCCTGAGATGGGGGTGTAACTTATGACAATGGTTTGGGGGTGATCTCATCATTTTCAGAACACTGAGGTTTGCTTTGAGCAGTAGAGTTCGATGCAAAACCATTTGGATAGGGAGAGGTTTACTCCGAACTTCCACACTGACACCTGCCCACGCACCAAAGAGCCTGGAACTTGTGTGGGCATTTGAAGATCAAGCTGGCTGAAGCCACAGCCCCACCGCTGCAGCGTTGCACCATTCCTTTTCTCGTCCAACTTCCAACCACTGGGGGCACCACTGGGGACACCACGGATCGTCCTCGTCCAGGCACAACTTGCCCTCCGAGCCACAGCCTGCCATGACGGTGGCCACTTGTGCACAGTCTCCTGGTCGCCACATGTCTCCTTTCGACATGTCCGCGAAAAAACAAGTCCTTCATGGATGTTTTTCGTAGCACCGCTATTAGATAGCTTCACAACTTCCAGTGTGAGCATGTATGCGTAATTAATTGTAATGATAGGGATAACCATCAATCTATCAATCTCGATTGAATCCCAAGCAGCAATGCTAGATTTGTTTTCTTTCTAAACACACACACACACACACCCACATATACCCAACCCAACTTCAGAACACTCAACCTGAATCAACGTCTGACAAGCACTTGCTGTAGTCAGTCATGTATATTTTCTTCATCTCGCCAACAAGTTGCAGAGGCGGACAGATGGCGGGGATAACAATTCACAGGTGGGTAGCGTACCCAGTATTTACACAGGCTCAACGGTCAAATGAGTATGTCATAGCTGTTCCTGATCTTGGCTCCTATCCAATGGCTGCACTCATCTAATTGCCTCATCTTGCCCCAACATCTCTTCCTCCCTGGATTCCTCCGTCCTTCCTTCTTCCCCCTCCTCTCCTGTCTCGGATCGTCGGTGAGGTTCAACGAGACGGAGGAGATTTGGTGGCCCAGCGGCACAGAGCTCCACGCGAGCGCCGTGGACTGTTCCGTGGTTTCCAGCTGCGGGCGCACCCGCCGCAGCTTGACCACTGTGGTCTACGCGCCCGACGTGGCTCGGCAGGGAGCATCGGAAAGGGAATCTTTTCGAGGAAAGGATGGATGTGTCTCGTTCAAACCGCCTCCACAGCAAAAAAACAAGATTTGCCAAGATGTCTTCCCGGGCCGATGTTCAAGAACTCCAATAATCAAGAGAAAAGTATTGGAACTCGCATTTTTGTTCAAGACATATTGTCAATCTTTTTGTTTGTTTTTCCACGCCCTTTGGCTTCTGTTGGCTTTTGGTGTCTTTTGTTGGTTTTTGGCGGCTTCTGTTGGCCTTCGTTGGCTTTTTGTGGCTTTTGGTAGCAATTCAACCACTATCATCCACTTTGAGCCAAGGCTTGGTATTCGGAGCAACGACACAATCTGGGCCGTGATTCCAGGATTTTGCCCTCCCTCCCCTAGTTTTGACACACATACACACACACACAGAGTGTAATACACATACATTCAGCCACGCTGCACCATATCCATGCTGCTTCACGCTGCGAGGTCTGGGGCACACTGGCGGATGGGATCTTTGTGCTCTGGCTCTGTCTGATGGTGCTGTCGATCTCCATCATCTTGGGGGTCACTTGGGCTTGGGAATTGCTCGCTGAGTAAATCTGTCTTTTTGGACAAGCTTTTGCGTTCGCAGTTGAGATTGACTTATTTACTCTGACTCCCAACTACTATTATGGCCTGTAAATATAGAAGAACATCTTGCTGTTCAAAACGACCATACAGTCCCAGCTCTAGCTGTGACGTACTCAGCTGCGAATCCTTGGTGACCCTCTCATGTTGCCAGGTCACGTTGATCCTGAGCATCTACAAGTCCCGTGGATGCAGCCCTTGCTTTGGAGCCTTCGCTGTGGTTCGGGTTTTGTAGAAAGGCACGAGTCACATGCAAGAAAGGAAAGTCTTGGGGAATTTCTTTCCTGAGCTGAGAAGGGTGTCGGTCGTAACCACACCAGAAGAATGGTAGGTTCCATGCCTTATTATGTCAGTATATAGCCAAATTGCTTTGGAGCCTTCTGGGGTGCTTAAATCATTGGATTTGCTCTAGGCTCTAGAGCCTCTAGAGACCAGCAGCTGCATAGCTGTAGAGTTCTTGCATTCAGGAGCCATTTACAAGTGACATGTGTCTTCATTTGAGACTCCCCAAATGGCACGGAAAGAAATGCACCCTGTGAGCCTGCATCATCAAAAGAACCGGTTCGGCTTTTCTTTCGCCGCGCCGAAGCCCGCTTTCGACGCACTCCACCGACAAGCCCATTGAGAAGCACGTTCCCTCCAACTTCGGCCTTGGTCGCGCCATTTGGAGGTTGAGCCCGGTCGGTCTCCTGGTGACCCACAGCCACCCATCGAAACTGGTTTCGACCTCCCTTGCTTTGGAACCCCCGCATTGCCCACACCTCGCTGTAGACCCGACGTAAGCCACAGATGTCAAGACCCGGATGCCACCCGAACGCCCGGCTGGGCCGATGTCCGGGCTCCTTCCGGATCTGATCGGAGGGTCCAGTTTTCTGCCCGAACTGAACGGTTCAGAGACATGGGCGGTTTCACTGGCGGTGTCCGGTCATCGCACGATAGCTGTTTGATTGCATGACTTTTTCCTGTATGATCCCTGCTAGATCATGGACAATAGCTGTTGTACGTATAGTAGATCTTGAAGCTTGATTTTGTTCACCTGAATATGGCTGTTTGGAGGACCTAGGGGCCAGCCCTAGCGGGGATGATGGTGGCGCTTCTGTTGAGACAAGGATAGGGGGGCAGTTGCATGTTCGCAAAAGAGTGAAGTTCACCAGGCTTTGTTTCAGGATCCTCAGACTGTCCAAACCAATAGGTTGGAGCCTGTCTTAGCTCTTGGAAAAGGGTGCACCTTGGGGGGAGACTCCAACTGACGGGCCTTCTCTATACACAGGAGTTACTGGAGCCAAGGGAAGATCGTTTCTGCTGAGGTTTGAGATCCATGTGAAGCACACGCAACGGATGAAGCACAAGGACCCGGGGCCCGTTTCAGACGGCCGTACGCCGAGGTCCCGCGTGGGGTCCAGCGAAGGTCGCAATCCCTCAATAGAACATAACAGAACATCTGTTGAACAGTCTGAACAAGCCATTCCAAGTTGGTGTGCTCTGCAAATGCGCATCCATTCGGCCACGGAACGGCCGACCGCTACCTGGGTCGCCAGGAGCACCCCAAGGCAAGGAGTCGAAAGTCGAAGTATTTCACGGAAGACGAACAGGGACGAACGTTGGGTCTTTTTTCCTTCTGGCCGAATGCTCTCAAACAGAGTTGATTTCACTCGGCTGCTTTCGCAAGTTCTTGTTTCCTCTGCAGCAGAACCTTTATATTTTTGGGAGGACTCGGCTCGGGCGACTTTTGACCTAGCAAGGTTTGGCTGTTCCCAAAGATATGGAGATGATTTCTCCCAAACGAGTCAAAAAGGATCATTCGGTTGAACCACACGCTTCGAGCTGTTGGAAGGTGCTGGATGTAGGTTGGAGTGTTGCTTCAATTTCGGAAGCCAAGATTTCCCAAAATGTTTGCCTGCTCTTAAGAGGCAGCCTCTTCGGGTTCACAGGAAGACTTTTACCATGACTGATTTCACCAAGCTCCCTCTCCGGCAGCTCAAGTATCCGCGTTGGCTACCATGCCCAGCAGAGGGGCTGTCTACATCACCTGAATGGACCCGGGGGCGATCTGCTGGTGCCTTCCTTTCGTTGGTCTAAGAAGGCCCTCCAGAGAAGGTCGAAGATCATTTTTCATCATTTTTTCCTGTCCCCCTTCGAGGAGATTTATTGCCAGCCTTTCTATACCTGTAGACGAGGCATGACACACCCCTCCGCCGAGGGGAAAGACAATCCCTACAATCCTACAACACAAGAGTTCGATCTTCTCAAGACCCGGCATTGCCAACCACTGGGCGCTCGCAGTTGCTCATGGTTTTGACATCAAATCAAGGTCTGTCTGCTTCATGATCAAACCGTCCGGGAGGTCAGAGGCTTTTTTCTTTTTCGCAGCAAGGCCCTGGGGAATTTTCGGAGTTGTCCGTCTTGAGCCCGGCTGGGCACGTGAGGCTCATGCCTGGAGTGTGGTGCCATTGAACAGCGGGCAGGAGCAGATGGTTGCGGAGGCCGGGGCCGGGAGGTGTGGAGGCGCAGGCTTTTCACCAGTTTTGGAGGCGTTGGCCTCAAAGAGATGGAGACTCTTTTCTCATGGAACACGACTCCTGGATGCTCCTGGCGGATCTGCCCTTTTTGGGGCTGTCCTTGGTGGTTCACCATTACGACGTTCTCCAACGTGCCAACGCGCCTTCGAATCGAGCCTGCGTGGAATGATCCGGACGTGGAGCGGTCGAAACGAATGGGGTGAGACGTTGGGTGGCCCCAATCCTGAACTCGCAAAGGAATGTCCGAATGTCCATTTCGATGTGATGTGTGTCAGACTGAGAGTGTCAAGAAGCTTGCCTCATGGCCTCACTTGTTGCTCTCTTGGTTGGCTTTTGATTGGAGGGGACGGACCGGGGAGACGTAGTGGCATGTTTGTTGAAGTTCAGATTGTTCAGCATGCAGGATATTCTGTGGGAGGTCTGGCCTTTCTACGAAGCACGATGTTTGAGGTGTGTTGGGTATGGGCATGTGTGGGCCGTCCTATTCTGATTGCCTTTCGATGACTTTGCTATGCAAGGCGCAATTCTTTCACACAAGGTGCCTTGCTGTTGATAGGGGCTATTGTTGCACCTCATTTTATAGACTTCGCAATTGTAGCATTCTCTCACTTAAAGAACATGATCCGTGACTGACCACCTTCACATAGAAGCTCTTCCTGTTAACAACCTACCACTCTGTCTATCGCCCCTTGAATGTGGAGCAGAAAAGGCACGCAAGTTGGGTCTTGTTTCGGGACGAACATACAATGCATCTAATATAACATCGAACTTCTTGCCCAGAGCGGTCTCTCATCCCTCTTCCCCAGATTCAATAGCCAGAGCATGAAAGGCCTCCGAGACAATGGGCCATGGTGAATCTGACAAACTTATGGACCGTCCCGAAATACCGGGGATACCAGAGACAACGAGACTGAGATCCTAGGGCCTTTCGAATAAGGGAGTATCCCAACAGTCACCCATTCTGGCAACACGTCAGCGGATGTTCAGTTTGTCATGCATTTGGCCCTGCATCCAAGTGACCAGAGTTCCTCTTCATCATCCCAGTATGTTTCCAAGTGCAAGTTTTGATGTCACTTTTCGTGGCAGGCGCAGAGATCGGAGACGTAAATGTGCAGATTTCGTGGCAGGCCTTTGACGCATATTGTTGCCGCACCCATTGATGAAAAAGGAGGATGAGGACAAACCTTATTGTTTCTTTTCCTTGCGGTGCTTCCAAGTGGTTGGTCATCCATTGAGTTTGTGGGCTTCTGGCTGCGCTTAAGCTCACGGCATCTCTCAAAGCTGACTGCGTGCTTGATTGGAGCCGCAGCGACCACATGCGTAGGCCCCTAGCGTCTCGCTGGCCACGCTGTCCTGTTTCCATCAGCAAGCAGCACACTTATACACACCTGTGAGTGATGAGGGTCCGTCTTGCCCTGGGTGCTGGCAAGTCAACACTTCCCCAAAGTAGAGATGGCCTGACGATGTTGCAGAGACTTCACATGTGGGGAACTACAACAACCATGAACTTGGAACTTGCGGGAACCCCGGGGACGGCTTTGATTTTGCAGGACAACAGCGTGGGGTTCCGATCAGCTGGTTCTGTGGAAGGTGCTACCGAGAACACCTAACATTTCACCCAAGTGGTTTGCTAGGTGCAATGTTCTCATGGCCTGCCGTTAATAGTTAAAAGGTGCACATGCATTTCATTTGAAGAGGTGTCTTCTATCAACTATGCAACCCATTGTCGAAAGTGTTCGAACCTCATAGACTTTAGACTCGTTGTCCGGGACTGTGACGCGGTTTTGATTTTATGCTATGTGGTAGAAAGGTCATTCTAGTGGCAAACTGTTGCTGGCACATGTTTCCAGTGAATGTGTAAAATATGATGTATTGAACTTCTTGTCTGGGGCGGGCCCTCATGGATTTCTCATCGCTGTCCCTTCATGAGCCCTCAATGAAATTGGCGTTGGTGAGCTTGAGAATCTCATGGATTTCATGGGGCGCGGGAATGCCATAGACATTGAATTGCGATTTTAGAGTCCTAGAATGTTGGGCTTTAGTATCCCTCAGACTGGCAAACCTAAGGGGCTAGGGTATCCCAACAGTCAGCAGATGTTCAGCTTATCATGCATTTGGCCCCGCATCCAAGTGACCAGAGTTGCTCTTCATCATCCCCGTATGTTTCCAAGTGTAGGTTTTGATGTCACTTTTCGTGGCAGGCGCAGAGATCGGAGACGTAAATGTGCAGATTTCGTGGCAGGCCTTTGACGCATATTGTTGCCGCACCCATTGATGAAAAAGGAGGATGAGGACCACACGGCTGGAAGATGCAAAATGTCACGCGGTCAGCGAACCATGCCATTTTGGTTCACATGGGCGGCAGCCGGATGGTCAGCAGGCCTCCAAAGTGCGCAAGTTGGAACCACGGAGTTGATTGCTGCAAGAATTTCGGCCAGGTGCTTCAAGCCCAAAGCCGCCCGATCACTGTCGGTCGATGTGTTGGTCCATGGTTAGCCGTCATTTTCTTTCGGCAGCTGGCTCCTAGCATCTGGTCGGGCACGCCACTTGGTTCCTGGCGAAGGTTGAGATCCCTCCACCCTTGGTGATAAAGCAGGAAGTGCTGGAGGTTGCTCAGCGTGCTCAGCGGCGGGTGGTCAAATTGAAGGATCCAAAAGTGGGTCAACAGTTCACATCCAAGGTTTCAACTGTTGGCTTTTGGATGGTTTGAGTGGGGTAACAGTGCTGTTTGACCTCGTGCACTGGAGGAGGATATGTTTTGGGCGGTGTTGCGTGGGTGGCAAAGGTACCTGTGGAAGGGCGTTGGCTGATTTCATGTCATGATGGTTCAACATCCTTTGGAATAATGTGTTGTGAAAACACTTCAGGAACTCCATGATGGTTCAACGTCCCCTGGAAAAATGTGTTGTAAAAACACTTCAGGACCTTCATGTTTGATCCGGATCGTCCGGGTATTGGTACAAATCCCACCAGCAATTGTATGATCTGGACAGACCTCAATGTTGACCAATGAAAGACACACCATGTCACCATGTGGGTGTGGGTCAATTTTGAACCTTCGAGGGTGTTCATGTGTCCGGATGGGCACGAACAACAGAGGTTGAGGTTTGTTAATTTTCGAGGGTCAACAACGGTCCCAGCGTTTTACCGTTGTTGGGGGCTCTACCTCAGACATCTGGCCCCGACACCTCATACCCCCACAGCCTTAACGTGCCTTAGGCGCCATATCCTGCTGCCTCCTTGCAGGCGGGTGGGTCTCCTCTTGATTTCTTATGATTTCTTGAGAGACCAGGATCCAAGACACAATCTCCAGCTCACAGCCGCTGTCGCGGAAGAACCGGGGCGACCTCACACACGTGACACACCGGAGCAGCATAGGTGAGCAGACACAAATGGTGAAGAGCAACAACCAAACCAACAACCAGCAAACCCCAGTTGAACAACATACATGAGTCGTTGGACATTGCCGTGTGGCAATCTTGCACCAGACCATGTGGAGAAGAACACCACGATGTTTCTTCCTTTCTGGTCACCCCCACTTCATCACCTCCATCTACACCCCGAAAGGGTGACGATTGTCCTCATCCCAAACAGGTGGTGCACTCCACTTCCATGATGACGCCAGGGAGTGTATGTGCTGAGTTTGTTCACTCCGCACAAAAACCAAGAGCTGCCCCTTTTTCTCGCTGATGGAGAAATGGTCTGAATCAGCTCGCCGGCCTCATTGACTGTGGGTCCCAAACTCCAAACCCTAATCAATGCCAGGTAAATGCCACCATGGTACTCACAACTTCGTCTCTTCCGTTCCTTTTCGCTTTGCTCCCACGCCGGTCGACGGTCTCCTCCCAGACCCGCGCCGGTCGCTCGCGCGGACCCGCGCGAGGTCTCCGCGCGCGGCAGCCGCGACGTCTTGGGGCCCGTGGAGTCGGCGCCGTTGGAGGCGCTCCACGCGCCGGTCACGGTCACGGCGAAGGCGACCGGGCGGCCGGGCGAGCGGGGGAGGGGAGAGAGGGTGATGGGAACAAGGCGAAACTTGGGCCCAAATGGGTCTGGTTTTGCGTCGGGTGCGAAGGGTATCGTTCTGGGTGGCTGTTTGGGCTGTTTGTCATTTTCGTTCTACACTTTGTGAAGTGTTGACACCGGTGGTGGGGAACGGAGCAAGGGATCTGGACTCATCGTTCAAGACCGACCTGGGTGATTGAGTTGTGGCCATCCGAAAAGCCTTTAAGTCGATACGATCGTCTCGATGAAGAAGGAGACACTGAGACACGAAACCAAACGCGATCTGAACGAGAAAGCGTGCGGGTATTAAAATGGGGAGAGCCTCCAATCCAAGTGTGGGACCTATTTGTTTTTTCATTCACGCCCACATATGTAGTCTTGGGTGCAAGCCCTCTCTTCTAATATACATGGGCGGCAATGAGCTCGTGATCCTGGACAGCAACACAATATGCGGAAGCTTTTTGACTCTTTTTGTAGTCGGAACCTGTTCGGTCCTGGCCATAATCATTTTTAGGGCGCTTTAGAGCACTGCATATGGCCAGGAGAGAGAGGAAAGAGCAGCTTGGATTTGGATTGGGGAGCGGTTGCCGGGTGTCTACATGGTAGATTTGTGACATGGTAGATTTGTGAACAGATCGGGTGTGTATTAGAATAGGGAGCCTCAAAGACCCCCGGAAGAAGGAAGATAGACCAACACCGATTGGGTCAGGGGGTCTCCCTATGAAAATACACACACCCAGATGTTTGTAGCCTAAAAAGTTTGGGTTCCTGGCGATGAACTTTTGTCTCCTCGGTTCCGGTTTTGAGATTCAAAACATACTCCGTCAGTTCCCTCCGCCCAGCCCTGCAAGAAGCTCCCCTTGTCTCTCAGCTCCCGTCAGCTGAGGAAGCTGAGTCTGCGGAGGCGGGGGCTTCAGAGAAATCGGACGCCCGGTGCAGGAGTCAATGGTCGATCGCCAGCGGCTCACCCAGACGGCTCACCGAGTGTCAGAAGGCGTTTCAAGACACCTTTGGGGTTGACATGTGTGGCATGATGGTTCTGCCATCACATCTCCAGGTCGATGAGGACCCAGCGCGAAAGATGAAGTCTTTGGAGTCTTTGGAGGTGCCATGGCATGCAGCCGGATGTAGCTTCATGGTGCATGGTGCATGTTAGCTTCATGGTGCCGTGAGGTAGTGGAAGTGATTCTCGTCCACCTGTCTGAGTCAAAAGGCCTTTACATCATCACCATCGGTTTGCGAGACCAAGACAGTGACAGCTGGGTCTTTTTTCCTGGGACCAATCCAACGTTCTTCCTGCCATCCCACCCAACTTCCAGGTGTTTTTTTTTTGCTTTTTTCCTGCGCTGCACATCTCCCGAAGCTCGGCGTTGCTTGCGCCTGAGGAGATGGTCCCCAAGAAATCCTCGGAGCCTTGATGCGAATGCGGGTCGAACGGGACGGGCATGCGATGGTCACGGGTGAAGCTGGCGTAAACCTGGGAACCCTCCGTTTACCAGGAGGCATGAAAAACATCCATGAATCATCGTTTGTATAGCCCTTGGTTTGCCACTAGACATCCCAAACGACGAAGGCAAATTTTGGCAACGTTTATTCTGGGCATTATGCAAATGTCTTTCAGCCGATTTGAACACGCGGATTTTTCTCAGGAACCGCATTCTTGTCATTTGGCTGGAGGCCCTATGTCAAGAGGGAAAAGGTAAACGAGCAACCATGGCTTGGTGTCCGACACCTGAAGTAGAGTGATTTCTGACCAACCATAGCTTCAAATACCAGACCACAAAAAGACCTCATGACAGGTCTGAACTCGATTTTTGGGGCTTCGACCACAGCCGACCTGTACAAAGCTGGAGGCTTTGTTCGGCTTCGGGCGCTTCGACTCGAGGTGAAAGAGGCCTGGGGCTGAAAGCAGCGAGGCCGGAGGAGATCCAACTGAAGGGGGGGCATTGAAGTAAGTAGGGATGGACGGAGGCTCAAGTCCAATACCTATGCGACCAAGCCACCAATAGAGTCGGGGCGTTCGCGCCAAGCTGGTATCTTGTTTCAAGGTGCTTTGCTGTCGAATTGTGTTTCCAGCGGCGTTCGATCTTGGGGATGCTTGCAATTGGGAGATGAGACCATTGGTTGCATTGCTGGTGCTGAAGCATCCAGTCATGCACATACAAAGCATTCCATTGGACCACGGATCCTCCCGAGTTGAGCCACTACATGGATACCGCAGCTGTCATCCTGGTTTGGGTCTTGTGGGCAAGTCACTGCATTTTGGGCACTTTTGGGTAGCATGCCAGCTCTTCATGAGTCCACCTGCTCACCCTGCAAAACCCCTGAGGTGCGGGGCCCTCCAGAGGCTGCACGTGGGAAGTTGGTTGAGCAGGAGAGACTGCGCCTGCCACATGTACATAGCGGGAACGCCCAGGCTGTAGGAGCAGGAGAGTGTGGGCAAGCAAGCAAGGGAAGCAAGTGGGATTGAAGGAGGCTGGGAGACTTTCAAATCTTAGACTTTCTAAGGATCCTCTATAGGTCTTTGAGCATAGGTCATCCAGGTCATCACGAGTGTCTCAACATAATCAGATCACTCAGTTGGACCGAACCAACATCAGCTCACGAAAGAAGACTTCTTGGCACCCCTCTCCCTCTCCCCTGCAAGAATCCCTTGCTGGCTTGCCAACCTCAGCTGGCTCGAGCTGGCTCGATACCACGGGCCGTCTCCGACCAGGCGAGACTCTCCGCGTCACCTCGCCTCCATCCGTCTCCCATCGGCCCATTGTCAAAAGATCGGCGCCGTGGCCGGTGGTGCTGAAATGATCCACCGGGGATCCAATCGGAGATCCAATGATGGGCAGGGTGAGAGGGTCAAGTAAGCGCGATGTCTTTGAGTGCACAGTGGTAAGATATGGTCTGCTAAGCTAAGTTGAGGTGGAAAGCTTTGAGGGTTCGTTTTGTTTCTGAAGCATTTGTTTCTTTGGAATCAACTCCTAGTTTGACCTATTGGCTTCTTCTGCCTTCGAGAAACTGACGTCAGAGACTACGGTTTGGGTCGTTTTGGAGTCCTGCTCAAGGGTGAAAGATCTTACAACTATGTTAAAGGCAAAACCCAAAGGTGAAGATCTATTTCAATGTCTCTATGTTTCAGAAGGAGATAACTGAGCTCAATCATGAAAGAGTGTGCCAAATTCCAAGTGATAACTGCCACAGTGGTGATTGGATCCTCGAGTCACGAGTGAGTCCATTGACAGGTGATGCTTCACGCTCGGTGATGGTTTCAAGACTCGCAGAGCGAGAACCAAAAAAAAGCAGGAGATGCGGCTAGCCATTGCAGCCTTCAATCGCCTTCAGGTTTCCGAGAATTGGCCCCACAGCCCGACCAAGAGTGCCTTCCCTTCATCCACCCCTTTTTGCTTCTTCGTCCACTCTTCGCCGGTGCCTTTTCCACGGCTCCCTACCGCGGCTCCGTGCCCGCTCCGCCGGCGCATCATGGGTGGCTCCAGGAGACGGGGGACGGATCTGGAGACGGGTGGGATGAGTTACACGTGCAGAGAGGACCGAGGATGGGAACACCGCTTGGGGGCCGACTCTTCGTTTTTTTTTTGGAAATATATAGGAGCATATAGACTCTTGACCTGAAAGATGTGACACATCCAGATGACGACCCACCTGGGTAGCCCGTTGGGGTTGCTCCGACCTCAGCCAACGTGTGTGTGGATCTGCAAGCGTGGTCTTTGAGCCTCGCAGTTGCAGGGCACACGGAAGATTATGGTCACCAGATTGAGGGGGTCTTTTTTGCTCGCCTTTTCACCTTCACGTTGTGCATTTTTCCTTGCCACGGGATGAACGCAGTGGCTTTGAACGATGGAACTCGGTTCGGGGTGATGGAGCTCTTGAGGCCGCCACCCTTGCATTCCAAATTCGGACGTCTGATTAGGGCTTTCCAGTCATTAATAGTCATGTTATTTTTGCCGGGCATGCCCCGGTCAACAAGAAGATACAGTATCCAAAAACAGCGGGACTGCAGATGCCCCTCTCTCTCTCTTTTTCTGGAAATGTGGTAGGCAGCTGATCTCTTGGCTCCAGCTACACTTTTCAAGCACGGAAAAAGGGTCACACGCTGCGAGCAGCATCGAGGCAGCCCAACACAGCTATGTATTCGCAACAATGAGCTGCTGGCACGATGGGGTTCCACAGGTTCAGCCACCCAATGGCGCTATGCGGGTGCTCTACAACAGAAATTGGTTCATGGTACTGTACCAGAGAGCAAAGGGTTGAAATCCTCCCGTCCGGGACTGGTGTCTGCCTCACGTTCTCGCCACGCTAACGCGCCCGAACCCAGGACACTGGTAAGGATGACCCGTGAACCCAAGGGGTTTTATGCCCTATAGCACCCAGGCACACCGGTTGATCAATGGTGACTTTTAGACATCAAAGAACTGCTTCAGAGGCACAGAAAGAGGTGCTCCCCAGGTGGTGGGAATCGTTCGTTTTGCGTCCAATCACTCCACTTACAGTGCTCGATTGACCTCCCAGCTGGGTTGATCTCTTGTACGCTGTTTGAAACAGCGCGTGCTGGCCAAACGACGCCATGGACATCACCGAGTCTTTGAAAGACTACTTCGAGATCTCCTACCAGCACGGCGGCTTCTCGGTTTTTTCGACCAGACCCGGTCCACCAAGGTCCACCGACCCGGTCCGCAACACGACCGACAGCCATTGGGCATTGAGGAGGTTCCACAGCAAAAGGGCAAGGGTCACTATGTTTTCTTCTTTTCGTTGGAGGCCAAGGCCACCATTTTGATATTCCTGATCAGTCATGAATCAGTATGTTCATGGAAGAGGGAAGACACTAGCAGTCACTTGCGCCACTGGAAATTGATGGCAAGTCACCGCAGTGTCCCATGTGGTGCTAGATTTGCTGTGAGATTTGCGATGAGTGGACTTGGAGCTGGATAAAGGACCGTAGGATGGACGGTGGGTGCTCAGACACAGGGTGTTTTCGCACAAAACTGCGCTCGGACCGGGACCTCTCAACCATCGGAGTGATCGTGGACTGCGAAGTCATCCATTTAGCATCTTAATGCATCTTAGGTTTTTTAGGATCTTGTTGGTGATTGGGAGCTTTGCCGTGTTTGTACTGCTCAGCACCTGCAAGTCATGTCAAAACATCCTCATCTTGGAACGGACGAACATCACTCCTTTGCCAAACCCGTTGAACTGCAAGGTGTTGTCAAACAAATCAGCTTTTCCCAGAGGTACTAGCTTGAGTGTATAATACTTACCCCAAGCGATCCTGAGACCCTCCACTTGAATCCAGTGTCCGGGACCTTGAAGAACACGTTGAAGAGATCTATTGCACTTGAATCCACTTCGAACTGCGGCATCGGGTTCTTTTCACGCCGGTCCGATCGATGTGAAGGACCACCGGACCTGCGGCCGTCACCGAGGCATTTTCGAGCACCCAGATTACGAGTGGTCTGAGAATGAAGCTCAGCTGTCAAGTTCGCGCCACGTGGCATGGCATGCTGCGGCTCGAAAAGCTGGTTTGGGATGGTTTGGGGCATGTTTAGGAGTTTCACCCTCAAGAGTCAGCATGAAACCAGGTCACCAACATGCAAGGCGGATGAATAGGACACACCTCTGCTTTTCCTACTCATCCTTTGTCTGCGTGGGTTGGTTGCGAAGTTGGCTATGTCTTGCTTTCGCTGCAGTTCTTCCCCTTCAGAGAGCTCCTCTGAAGTTGGATCCAACGCGGGGGGGTGAAACCCAATCAATCACATGCTTTGCAGAAGGTCAGGGACCGTGAGGGAGGTGCTACCTCCAGAATCTCGAACTTGGGACAGCCACACCTGCAGTGACAGGCTGTCAGGGCCCTCCCGAATGCACTCCACTTAGCCCCCAAGTTCTGGACACTCTTGCCCGTGATCGGCATGAAGCCAATCGCAAACTGGGTTCCAGCTTCACAACTTCCAGTTCAGTTGGCTATTCACTATTCACTCACATCATGGCAAGAATGCAAAGCTCCATTTTTTCCACAGTCAGCATCACCTTAGGCGGTGAACTCATCAAGAATCCCTGTGCCCATTAACAAACCAGTTCCGGTCAAATGCAGTTCAGCTGCAGTTTCAGTGGGTGTTTCTCCCAGCTGAGCCCGCGTGCCTGGGCGCCCCTGCCCGCTTTGCAGCCCGCTTTGCCCTCCAGGAGTGGGGTTGGCTGCACCAGCCCACGGGCATCACCGTGTGGGGTGATGCGTTGGACCTGACGGTGCGTGCCGGGCGCATGAGCCAGGGTGGAAGTCATGTGAACAAGCACCAGGCGGGGAGGAGTTTGGGGAAAACCATGAGGGGGGGAATGCAGTTAGGAGTGGATTGAGTGTCAGTGGGCATGGAACGAGATGAAAGAGGGAGACCGACCCCCTTTCGACCCCCTAGAAGAAGGAACTTAGACTTTCAAGGGCAATTGTTGGGGGTCTCACACACAATGGGTGTGCTGGGTTCAGGGCTCCCCAGCTCGAAGAACTGCTCAGAGGGATGGAGGTTTTGCTTTGACCACTGATTCGCGGCTCGCCGCCTGTGGCAGGGGATGGCGGCTCACCGCGGGTCGTTCGCCGGCAGGTCGTTGCAAGCCGAGAATGGTCGTCTCAACAAGTGAACCATCTACTGTAATAGGTCGTTTGATGTTGAACCCAACAACCAGACCTCCATTCTTGCAGTTAGCTAAGAAGTATGGTAGTCTATGGTAGTCTATGGTAGTCTATCCCGGAATTGCTGTTGGAAAACCACGGATCTGTGGTGCCTTCATTGGGTACCATCCTGACAGAATCTGGAGCTGCACAGAGGTGTCCTTCACCGCAGTTCGTGAGCCACCTGACCCCGGGACGCCCGGCCGACCCCGGGAGGGCGGAGCTAGCTGGAGATGGGGATGGTCAATGGACCAACCTGGTACTGAGTGTAGGGGTGAAGAAGACCCAAGCTACCTGGCAAGAGTGGAAGAGGGGGTTTGGACCATGAGGCCTGATATCACTGATCTCCATGGTTTCTCGCTACCTGTGCTTCAGGTGGTCTTCCACTACACCAACTTCCTGGCGTTTAAGAACATCACCAACGAGGCTCCAACGATTGATGGTTGGACTCCTTGACTTCCACGTCATGGACTTGCCGAACGAGAGGACGTGAGGCAGACGTGATCCCTTTTCAAAGCAAATACACCGAACGGGAGTCTCACCCAAATGCAAGATGGACTTGGTCATGCTTTCAAGTATTCCCCTTTCCATCTGCCTGTGCATCACTAAGCATTTTTGGATACATGGGAAAGTAGGTTTGCATGAGATCTTGAGATCTTGAGGAGGGCAAAGGCTAACAAAAGCTGCTACTGCTACCTTTGTTCTCTGACACAGATTGTTCTCAATTAGAGTTTAACCATCAGCACACAGCCGCACCCCTTTCTCTCTTTACGCAACATCGCAATGTAACTCGAGTGTTGAGGTGATGGAGTTGCGATGAATATGATGAATTCCAATGACTTGGGACTAAGCGCCAGTCAGGTCTTTGGTGGTCTTAGCGGTAGAACAGACTGACCGCCCTGTATTTGGCTGTTCTACTCCTAAAACCGTCAAGGACCACTGACCCACCGCACCACGATCTCCGAGGCCAAGGAGGATATCGAGCTCTGGGCCTCCTTGGAGATCGAGGGCCCCACGGCGAATGCCTGGTCACTGGGCCACACGCCGCCGGCTCCGCTCCGGGTCGGCCTCCGCTCCGGAGCGGTTCGCGGTGGCTGAAACAGTTGGGGGTGGCTTTGAGTGCCATCCAGTGGATGTGACAGGGGGGCAGTTTCGTTTTTAGTGCTGGAAGCGGTTGACCGCTTCTATCGGAGTTCCACTCCTGGGTGAGATCGGCAGGTCACCATCCATTCCGCGAGAGACACACTCCGGGCGGCCGGAGGTGACCTGCCGCGGGAGGGGTGAGAGGCGACAGTACCAAGGTCTTGAGAGTCGAAGATCAACAAACACCAAGAATCTACAGTAGCTGGTGGTTAGGAGGGAGCTGATAGGAGGAGGTTATCCATATTCCCCTTTGAACAAGGGGGAGCCATTGCTAAGCTGCTAGGTGAATGGTCTTGTTCTTCAGTCCTCCATTGGGTTCACATGTGCCAGGTCTAACAACAAACTTGGTTTTCACTGGGTGCCGTCATGACTCACAGACAGTGACACGTCATACGACCGAATCGACCGAGCTTTTCGACAGCAACAGTGCGTGTCCTCTTAGCGAGTTGTTTTTGGGCGGATCGCGATAGGAGCAAGAAGGGAGACTGGCCTGGCAACGAAATCAAGACTTGCTTATCTTGACCCAAAAACTCCAGATACCAAACTGCCTATTTGGTATCTGACCAGGTACCTATCTCGACCCCATACCTATCTTGCCTATCTGACCATGAGGCTTCGTATTTTTGACCCAACTGCAGCCTCCCCACATGGATTGGATGCTTGCTGCATCCCATGTGCAAAGAACCAGCGTTTTGTGTCGGTCTAAACGCTCGAAGGTATGGGCGAGGGCTCTACACGGTCCCCTTACCGCCGGATGCCTGGGGTGATATCAATGCCCTCTTGGACCGGGGGCGACGGCGGCGGTTGACCGGGCGACGCGAAGCGGAGAACGGGACACGCGGCGAAACGAGGCTAAGCTGCCAAACGGGACTCTGTGGACGGACGAGGACGGTGTTTTATGCAGACGGTTCCAGGCTAAGTATCCAACAAACACATCAAACCTCCTGCAAAAGAGGAGGTGTGTTCAAGTTCTGGATGTCTTTCTGAACGACCCTACCTTTTTTCTCGGTCCGTTGTTAGGATGGTTTTGGATCGCCTACTAGATGCCGAACGTTAAGACCGTCTGAGTCTGTCGGATGATGCGGAGGACAACAACTACCGGAACATGATGCGGAGGGACCTCCAAAACCGAGGGGAGGACTATGTGCAGAAGACCTACCCGGCGCGCGCGAAGTTCTGCATTCCCATTCTCGTGGATCCACAGGATGTGCCTGGGCTCAAGGGAGGTTGAAAGGGACCCACTCGGGAGTTGGTGGTATCAGGGTGATGTTTGGTAGGGTTTCAAAGCAAGTGTACATCAGAAACAATGGTGTGCCATGAACTACTCGATCACCCTTTCTAATTTCATATTATCCTCGATCAAAGAACCATTCAATCTTGCAAGTTACGTATCCAAACTTCAATATTCCAACAATCAGCAACAATACACATGATTAGATATATAATATACATTAAGATAGTATAGAATCCATAATTCATCTGTTCACTCTTCCAATATACCGAACAGCAACGGACAGGCTCAGGCTTAGTATACGTACTCTGCCGGCCAGCCTGTTTGCCTCACAACAGGCCTACGACGTGTCGGTGCGACCGACGCCGGAGATGGTGGAGCGCGGCGTGCCGCCGGGCTACAATCTGAAAATGATGCCCTTGATCCCTGGCAGAGTCGAAGTCGTCTTCTGAGTCGTCTTCTTTTCTTTCTTTGGTCGTGGATGGAGAACATTGTGCTTTCTTTCTTCTGTGCCTTTTGAACGTTGAAAGACATTCCTCGCTTTTTCGGATTTCAGAGGCCTCCGCCCCCTAAAGCTCGGCCCCCACAGCTTGGTGGACATCGGAACCGTCTCGGTCGCTGTGAAGGGATCCGCGGCGCGACCGAGGAGTGAACCGGGGATGCGGCCGCGCATGTGTATCACCGTGAGAATCGAGGACGACGCTTGGGATCACTGGGAGATGAGGTGTGTCTCACAGGTTTGAGGTCCAAATGCCTTTAGATCCAGCTCTAATAATACATATATATATATATATCGCTAAACGAAAGGATTTTGCCAGGCTGCGCAAGGCCGCAAGTGGTGTAGTGGCAGAGGGGTAACGTGCACACATGCTGTCAGGTGGACCCTTTTTCCCGTGCTTGATGGTGGAAAGGATACATTGTGGATCCGTTTTTAGATGATGCAAGAACCATTGTTTGTTGAAACATACAACTGCTCAAGAAACATCTCACTATATTGTGAAATGGAACAGGTTGACTTGGTAGGATCCTCACTCCATGCGGTTGCCCCTTCAATCCGTCCAGCAGGTTTGACTGTCACACAGGCATGAACGACCGCCTGTGGCTCAAGATGCAGGCTCAAAAGGACGCGCAGCTTTTGAGACCTTTTCACGTGTGGGTGTCACGACTTTTCATATTGGCACCGGAGCTTAGCACTCCCCAGGGACCCTTCGGTAGACCCACTGTTTTCCGTTTGGGGGCACCTTCTTTTTTTTCGCCTTTGCGTCGGGGCGTGATGGCGGCGCTCGAATGCCTTCGATGGCATCGGTTCCAGGAGGCTGAGAACCTCATGAGTGGGACAGAAGGCAAAGGTGTTCCAAAGTTCGATGGATCACCAGCTGCCTTGCAGGAGTACGCCTTTAGAGTTCGCCTTCGAGCTGCTCGCGACGCGGCTTTGGACCCGGCAGAGCTCAAGAAGCAAGGACCGTTGGGATTGCGCCTAGTTGATGGCTTGACAGGTGCAGCCATCCAAGTGGTCCGAGAGATCGAGCTCACGAAGTTGGCTGGTGAAAATGGTCATGAAGTTTTGCTTCAACACCTCTACCAGGCCTTTCGACCACGACGACAACAAGAAGCTCGTGAACTCTATGCCGCAGGAGCTCAAGTCCATGGCCCCTTGAGCAGGCAATACGGAGAGCCGATGACCTCCTATCTCCTCAGGAGGCGGACCTGGTACAAGATGCTTTGTGATCTTGATGACAAGCTCGCCTTGCCAGAGGCCATCCTCTCGGAGCAGGTCCTGATGTCGGCTGGCATCTCAGCGGATCACCAGCTGCTGATCCGCACGGCTCTTGGAGGCGACATGACGGTTGTCAAGGTATGCAATGAACTCATTGCTCAACATCCTCACGTTCATGAAGGAGAAGTTCACCACCGTCATGAGCAAGAGCGCTACTCCAGCAAGTTCGGCCGTGCAAAAGGAAAGTCCTGATCCTACCACACATGGTCGACGCCCTTCCAGCAGCAGAGCTATGTGGCTGAAGAAACTTGGGACGAAGGATCCCAATCCCTTTGTGGCTTCGAAGAGTATGAGCAGCCCTCAGCATCGTTCTACACTGGTACAGCCGAGGACTGGGAGTTTGAATCCACAGCTGAGGAGGCCGACTTCGCCTTTGAGTCCTATGCGGCCCTGGTTGAAGAAGGTTTGGATGAAAGCAACTCAGAAGCTGTGGACTATGCCATCGAGGTGATCCAGCTTGAAGCAGAAGCCATGTTCCTTCACAACAAGGCCCAGAGTCAGGGGCACACAGGCTTCTCCGGTGGCAAGAGCAATCGCCATTGGAACAAGGGCAAGGGCAAGAGCTCCAACAACCCTGAGCGTCGAAGAGCGCTTGAAGAGTTGAAGAAGAAGACCACATGCCGTCGCTGTGGCCAGATGGGTCATTGGAGCACTGACTATGTCTGCCCGAAGCATCCTGGAAGCAAGACCGGCAAGGGTGGCAAGTCACCCACCGCCATGACCGGCACTACGACAGCCACGACAGCTACTGGAGGCAAGAAAGGCTCGAAGGGAGCCAAACCACGTGTCGTGTACTTCACCGTTGCTGAGTATGAGGACCCGGAGATTGACTTGGAGGCCCAGGCTTCTTTCATGGCCGTGAACGAGTTTGGCAGCGTCATCTCTGCACTCAGGTGTTCTTCATGGGGCCTCAACCGAGCTCACAGCGGATCAGATGCTGGACCTCGCAATCCAGCAGGCACGTGTGCAGCAGCAGCAACAGGCCCAACGTTTGACTGACGGCCACAATCAGCCTATCCCAGAAGATGTTGACTGGGAGGTCCAAGAGCTCGCATTGCAAGGCCAGGGAGATGCTGCTTCTGTGGTCAGCACTTCATCATGGTCTATGCCTTCGGTGTCGGGCTTAGCACCCTCAGCGCCGAGTATGTCATCTTTTGTGGGTATGACCGTGCCAGCAAGTATGACCGGATTGCCAAGTATGACTTCCCCTTCAGGCTATGAGTATCATCTTCCTGAAGTTCCTTCACTACCATTTGCAGAGCAACCTGATCCTCAGCCTGGAAGTCAGCAAGCACGGACCACTGCAATGCTGCGAGATGGAGATCCTGACCAGATGAGCAGGTTCACGATGAATCCTCCTGCTCAAGAGACAAGTTTGAAGCAGAGATCTTGCCATCATCCCAATCGCACCAAGGCTGGCTCCAACGCCTATCAGAGCATCATTCGATGCAAGGACTGCGGCTACATCCTCCACCTCGAGAAGAAGAATGCTGCCAAGAGCATGGAAACAAAAGAAGTGACTTCTTGCACTCATGCTCGCAAGAACTACCAAGGCACCACAGCCACGACTTGGCGCTGGCGATGCATGGATTGCGGAGAGACCGCGTCTGGATTCAAGAATCCTGGTGAGACTGGTGCCAAGGCAGCTGACATTGCACCTCTCCGAGTTGGAGCTGTCGCAGATTGGTATTTGGATGATCCACCATCCAAAGTGCTTGAGTTGATGACCTTGACCATCAGCATCCAGAGGCAGACTCACAATGTGGTCACGGGGGACGACTTGGACGTGATCTACCGTCGCTGCAAAGACATGATCTATGGAGCACCAACAGTCCCGAAGACTTCAACGGCAGCGGCATCACCTCATGTTCTGTCCATGCCACCGAGGCCTATGTCAGCTCAGGAGTTCCACACTCCGAACACCAGAGGATCTGCCAGTTCGGCACCTTCGACACCGGGTGATCCGACTTTGGGACCACGTGATGTTTTGGTCCAAGATATCGAAGCATGGGATGCTGAGAAAATGACGACTGGTCAGCACAAAGGCAAGACCTTCCGCATGATCGCTGAGACGGAACACTCCTATGGCACTTACCTGCTTGGTCAAGTCAAAGCCAACAAGATCAAGAACCCGCAACTCCTTGAGTATGTCAGGTACATCAAGGTGAGAGGTCAAGCGGCCATGATGGCACTCCATGGCCATGCCTCAGGAGAAGACAAGCTCCTCTGCATCCTTGACACTGGATGCAATAGCACCTGCCACGGCGCTGGATGGATCAAGGACTACATGCGGCTGACTGGACAGCACTTTGAGCTGTTGCCTCATGAAGGTCGAGTCCGTGGAGTTGGAGGCAATGTGCAAGTGGTTGGACTTCGTCGCATTCCAGTTCTCTTTGCACTCAAGAACGGAGACATTGCTTCTGGCACCATCACATCCACTGAGCTTTCTGGAAGTGAAGCACCTCTTTTGCTCAGCACCCGAGCTCAGAAGGCACTTGGCTTGGTGATTGACACCGAGGAGCACACCGTTTACAGCAAGCGCATGAATCAGTACCTGGAGTTGGTTGACCGCGATGGCCTTCCTGCGATTCGTCTCATCCCCTCCACAGAAGATGAGACAGACATTGCACTCCAGGCAGAGATTTCCTCAGCCCAAGAAGAAGACAGTGTGGACATGAGCTCAAACGCCACTGACGCTACTTCGCCTAGCAGTACCTCATCATTGTCGAGCCCTATGACGTCCAACTGCACTTCGTCTCAGAAGAGCACTTCGATGGACACCTCAAGCCAGGAAAGCCGACTTGACAAGTCAGCGATTGAAGAGGAAGACACGCTGAGCTATGTCAACCTGGCAGAGTCTCCTCGAAAAGTCATGACTCGAGGACAGCGAAAGATGATGACTGAATCCACAGAAGCTGTGCACAAGGAAGACCTTGCACTGTGGGGCACGCTTCGTCATCATCAAGGTCTACGACGACCTGGGAGACTCTTACCATCTGGATGTCGATGCTTCCTGATGGAGCTGTTTGCTGGAGCGGCCATTTTGACCACCATGGCTGCAGCTTGGGGCCTTCCCGTTGGACGACCCATTGATGTCTGCTATGACCCTGGTCATGATTTGCTGAAGCCCTCCAATCGTCAGGTGATTGGCGACTACATCGACTACATGGATCCCTTCATCCTGATCGCAGGGCCAAAGTGTGGACCTTGGTCACCCTGGCAGAACATCAATGCCAGCAAGAGTCAGGAGCTCGAGAACTATGTGATGGAAGAGCGACAGAGATGGTATCCAGTGTTCAGATGGCTCATTGACATCTTCAAGTCTCGCTTGAGAAAAGGGAGGCACGTGATTATGGAACATCCCTGGACCAGTGCAGCTTGGGGCATCAAGTGTCTCGAAGATTTTTTGGCTTCGAATCCTTTCCATGAGGAGACCAACGAGCCCGTTGAGGTAGTGAAGATAGATCAATGTCAGTATGGACTTCGTGATGTTCAGAATGGACTACCTCACAAGAAGAGCACTGGGCTGATGCTTTCATCGCACTTCATGAAGAAGAGGCTCAACAAGCAATGCGATGGATCTCACGAGCATCAGCAGTTGGAAGGCAGCAATCGCACACGCCTCGCACAACAATGGCCAGAAGAGCTTTGTCATGCCATTTTGTCCGGCGCCTATGAAGAGTTGCTCTATGGAACACTTCATCAAGCCTTTCCTGTGGAGGAGGTCTTTGAAAGGCATGAAGAGATGGGCGGCATGGACGGCATTCATTCAGAACAAGACCTGGCACCTTTGGTCAAGAAACGCCGAATCGATGAACCCGAACTTCAACGTGAAGAAATGCTTTTGGAGCAATCAGCGCATGAGACCAAAGAGGACCGCCTGGTGATGGAACAAGAAGAGAAGAGGCGGCGAGGCTGGCTCACCCTTCCGACGTCTTCACACCATGACTGGTCACTGCTCAAATGCTGCTTTGATGAGAATGCTGGTGGCATCTACAGCAGACAAGGATGTCATCGATGCAGTGAAGTTCTTTCAATGTCAGGTGTGCAAGGAGACGGAGAAAGATCAGCATCCGCGTGTGACAAAGGAGACAAGGCCATCTTCGCAGATGCACTTCAACTATGAGCTTTCGGCGGATGTCTTTGAGATCCATGACAGTGAGCATCACCGCCACTCCATCCTGTCATTGGTGGACTTGGCCACACACTTCCATGTGGCAGTTCGTGTTGCAGGAGGAGGAACACCCAGCTCGAAAGCATGTGCCGATGCCTTGAACGTCTCCTGGATTGCATGGGCTGGAGCACCCACCTTCTTTGTGGCAGATCAAGGAGTCCACAACAGAGGAAAAGTGGCACATCTCCTTACCGTGATGGGCACTACCATCCGGCAGACTGGAGCTCGAGCACCTCATCAACTTGGAGTTGGAGAACGTCATGGAGGATTGCTCAAGGAGATTATGAAACGTGCCATCCATGAAAGACAGATCAAAGGAGCTGAAGACATTGCAGCTCTGTGCTCAGAATCGGCAAGAGTGAAGAATCTCTTCATCAACCAGCACGGCTACTCACCGTCTCAATGGGTGATGGGCTATCAACCTCAGGACATCACTTCCCTGAACAACAAAGACTTGGAGCAGAGTCTTGGCCTACACCAGAGCTTGCTGGATGCCGAAGAGGGAGCACAAGATTCCTTTGCAAAGCAACTGCTGATTCGTCAATGGGCAAAGGAAGCTTTCATCAAGCTTGACACCTCTCAACGAGTGCGCAAAGCCATGCTCCGGAAGAGCATTCCTATGAGGGGCCCATACCGCTGTGGAGATTTGGTTTCTTTCAGCAAGAAAGGCAAATGGTATAGACCTGCCAGAGTTCTCGCTCATGAAGGAAAATCCTCACTCTGGCTGTTGCACTCAGGAGTCGCCATTTTGGTGGCAGAGACCTCATGCAGGCCGGCAACTACAGCAGAAGTCTTGAAGCGACATGCTCTTGAACTGCGGCCTGAGAGGAAAAGGAAGAGACAGATCCTCACCGACTGGCAAGAAGATGACGAACTACCTTTTGCGGACGACTACATCGAGGACAACAACTTCCGCGGAGGCCCAGGAGGATCGAGTGAGCAAGTCCCATTCGTGGACTTCCAAGAGGTGAATGCAGGACAAGGCGAGACGGGAGTGACTGCTATCCCCGGAGATGCTGAAATGAATGAAGGAACAACTTCATCGACGTTTCCATCGTTGCCTCAACATGTTGAACAACCTCACCAAGCACCTCTCCAGAGTCCACCTGGACTCGAGATGGCAACTTCTATGGAAGATGGTGTTGAGACACCAGTTGAAACAATGACTAGGGTTTCAACAATGAGCAGTCAACCGGAAGCAGAGATTACTCCGGCACCAAGCATCTCTACTCATCCAACATCAGGTGCAGCACCTTCCAACATCATCAACGAGCAGGTGACGCCTTTGACACAGTCCCTGCGACAAAGCCCTGATCGTTTGGATGGAATTTTCCGTCGACGTGAGCCTTCAGTCTCCGACAGCTTTCTTGCCAACAAGACCGAGCGCAAGTACAAGAAGAAGACACAAAAGGTCGGAGCAGGCCGTGAGCTGAACTTTTCCAAGGAGACTCCCGAGATGCAGAAGAAGCTTTTGGCCACTCGGGAGAAAGAATGGCACAACTGGAAGTTTTACAGCGATGGCAAGCTGGTCCCAGAAGAGGAAGTGGTGCACATGATCGCTCAGAACCCGGAGTTGAAGATCATTCCAACTCGATGGGTGGACGTCAACAAGAGCGAGATTGGAGAAGAAGAAAAGCTGAAGTCAAGACTGGTGGTGCGAGGTGATCTGGAAGACAGCAGCTTGATGCGCTGCGACTCGCCCACGTGCAGCCAGACCATGATCTCACTGGTGCTCACCTTGGCAGCTTGTCGAGACACGACCTTGTGGTCTGGTGACATCTCCGCTGCCTTTCTGCAGGGCAGCAAGTTGGATCGTGTTTTGATTTTGAGTCTTCCCAAAGATGGAGTTCCAGGAGTTGCACCCAACATGTACTACATCGTTTCCTCCACCGTCTATGGCACGAAGGATGCACCTCGTGGTTGGTGGAAGAACCTGGACAGCACTTTGAAGAAGAAAGGATTTCATCCAGTTCCCTATGAGCCAGGAGCCTACACTTTGTTGGATGGGCATTCTGGACTGGCAGGTCTGTTGGTCACTCACGTTGACGACCTGCTATGGACTGGAGGACAGGTCATTGAAGATCTGATGAAAGATGTGTGCAGCCACTACAACTTCGGCAAGGTTGAGAAAGATGAGTTTCGCTACTGCGGTCGCAACATCTGCAGGACTGCTGAGCACATCCAAGTCAAGTGCGACAACTTGATCGACCGTGTGCGGCCAATTTGGCTGACCCATGAGCAGAAGCGTCATGAAGCTCAACCAGTACCTGAAGCAGTTCGAGGGCAGCTCAGGAGCATCATCGGCAGCTTGGCATGGTTGGCTCGTGTTTGCAGGCCAGATTTGGCCTATGCAGTGTGCCGCATGCAGATGAGCGTGCACTCGGCCACCTTTGGTGATGTGAAGTATGCCAACTCCATTGTGGCATTGGCCCAGAGGACCAAGAGCTTTGGCCTGAACTATCCCATCAAGGCCTTTGAGTTTGAGAAGGCGATGATCTTGGCAATTCAAGATGCCAGTCACGCAGCTGACTTTGAAGCTAGCTCGTCAGGAGCAAAGATGGGACACAGAAGTCAAAGCGGCCGACTCCTTTGCCTCGCGAGCCCGGACTTCCACAAGTCCAAGAAAGGACAGCTGGCGCTGATCGAGTGGCACTCAACGGTGCTGAAGAGGGTTTGCAGGTCGACACTGCAAGCTGAAGCTTTAAGCCTCCTAGCTGGAAGCGAAGAAGCCGACCACTTGAGGTTCGTGCTATATGGTCTTCTACACCCTCATTGCACTGTCCCTCGATGGCAAGTTCGTGCGATGGACTCAGTGCTGGTGGAGTGGGTGACGGACTGCAGGTCGCTCCACGACCATGGAAACCAGACTGGCCTCCACATTGTCAGCGACAAGAGATTGGCCATCGACATGTGCGGCTTGCGCCAAAGCCTTTGGAGGCTTCCGGAAGAGGAAGTTGGAGATCCTTTGGTGACTGACCGGCTTCCAGAGGCCGGAACGACGAAGCTCACCTGGACTTCGACCGACAAGATGCTCGCGGACCCTTTGACAAAAGGGATGAAGCACGACGGCCTAAAGAGGCTGATGGATGGCTTTGAAGTCGACATGTCACCGACTCTGGATGGATTGAGGGCCAAGAAAGAATATGGGTGTGAAATGGAACAGGTTGACTTGGTAGGATCCTCACTCCATGCGGTTGCCCCTTCAATCCGTCCAGCAGGTTTGACTGTCACACAGGCATGAACGACCGCCTGTGGCTCAAGATGCAGGCTCAAAAGGACGCGCAGCTTTTGAGACCTTTTCACGTGTGGGTGTCACGACTTTTCATAATATGTTACTCAAATCATTTGTAAAGACACATAAGAACTATATAGTCATCAATGGTAAAGGATGCTGCATCCTTGAGAAGCTTGGGTTACTTCACAAAAGTCTGCAGAAGTAAAAACTTGAAAGTGGACCTTGATTGATGCATGCAAATTTGTTTGGGTCGTGTTTTGAGGCGCTCCAAAGATTATGTAGACATCCAAGACAATCGGAGAAGGTTGACATGTTTGGCATTCCTTACCACCAGTGACATCTCCGAACCATTTTCTGCACCAGATATTTTGCTGTTTGCACAGGGCCTTTTTCTGAACCTTGATCAGAAGCCATCTCTGTTCCACTCGATCGGCGGCTGAGGAGAAGAAGAATGTTTGCAATCCGAAAGCCAAGCTTTTGGATGTTGTCAAGACGCGAGCAGATGCACTGGCACAACATGGACAGCTTGACTGCACATAGAATATTGTTCTCTTTTTTTGGGAGCGGGAGTTCAAAGCACTTCTTTTCCTTCGACATGTGTTTTTTGACATGTTCAATTTTGCAGATTTTACAGGAGGCACCCTTGTTGCAAGGGAAGTTTGCGGATTGAATCACTTGTTTTGCTTGTCCTTGCTTGGATACCTGAAAAGGCCCAATTCGTGGAACAAACAAGCTTCGGACCACATCAACAAGTTTCTCCCCGGTTCCCGCTCTCGGAAGATCCTACGAACACCCAGTTTTCCTTTGTTTACAACCACTGGAAACCGTTCGAGTTATCAACGACAAAACGTCAAATCATGCCCAGAAAACCAAGTGACAAAGCTCCATCTGAGGTCCCAACCGGGCATCACTGGAGGCGCTGATGCGCTTGGCCATGGTGGAAAGTAGCCGTGGTCTTTATCAGGAGGCCACCAAGCACTTCGACACCCGGCCACACCAAGCCGCTGTCCGTGCCGCACAGCGTTTGAACGTTCTGAAATGCGGATCTCCTGGACGAGCAGTTTCTCTTGGGGCCAGAGGTGGAGCACTCGATGCAAAGCGGTTTCCTAGGTTGATGCTCTTGTGGGAACGGTTTTGAGCCAAAAACAGGTTTTCGTCGTGAAGGTTGGACGCGCCCCATAAACATGACCATTTCTTGCTTCTGCGGAGCTGATGTTCACAAGTTTGAAGGCCACCCTGAAATCACACATCACCCCCCCGGTATGAAGAGGTATTTAACATGGCTCTTTCCGAGACTTGGTTTGGCTCCGGCGTATGGTTTTCATCCACCAAACACCGGAGCACGGAGTTTACTTTACCATCCAAATGGGAGGGTTGTTGATCAAGAGTCTACATCACCAATGGAAACTCCAGTCAGACTCACTGTCAGAGTCCTGCTGAGCTTGCAAGCTACTCTCGGTCTTCGGTTGAACCTGGCGCCCAGACTTTTGAACACGCCTTGGTAATGAGCCTTCAAAAAGCCAAAGGTCAGCTCTTGATGAATAACCCCTCCAGACATGGATTGTAAAACCTCTTCAGGCCTGGGGGGATTGAAATAGGACTCAACGAACCCCTGTGAGCCTAGTGACTCCTCGACCCCCCCGGGACCCCGCTCGATCCGATCGTATTAAGGGAATCGTTGATTGCATTTGCTGGCGGGGCGGTTGGAGTTGTCAGGATGCTTGCATGGCGCTGAAACCCAAAGCCCAAAGCCCAAAAAACCTGGTAGAAGGGACAGTAGAGCAACATTTTGTTGCGGAAGCGCTCGTTGTTAAACAATGACACTCTGACTACCGACATCGAAGTGGTTTCCATCCCCTCTTTGTCAAAGAACCCAGGTACCTCCCAAGGGCCAGAACTTCCACTTCGACGTGTTCGACCGAGTGTTGATTCTTTTTCCTTGATTTCAGAAAAACACGGGAGCCCGATACACTTGTTCCGAACACAGCACTGGTCTGTGGTGAAATCCTCACAGACCCACTTGGTGAGAATTTCAAAAGTCACAAAACCATACAAAACCACTGTAGACGGTTGCTTAATAACTCCCGACCCCCCCATATGGAGAGCATCTTAAATCTGAGGGGGTTTATAAGCCAACAGTCCACATATAATGGAAGGGGCTCCTGCCACTTCCATTCTCTTTTTGGAGGGGCCTCATCCCAAAATGTCCAATCCTTTGTTTCTCCATCTCTTCGCTTCCCTTCACCTTCTGCTTGCTAGTCCACCACGCCCATGTTTACCACGGGCACGACCTGCTCCAGGAACAGGTGGTTCGCTCCATGGAGTCCTTCTTCGGGGTGAACCATCGCTTGACCTTGCGCGCCATGGCCGGCCTGGCCGATGCCCTGGCACAGCAGGGGGATTTCCATCGGGCGGAGGCGCGCGCGACCGGGGCAGGCGACTCCATGAGGCTGGTTCCATCAAGTATCGGACAGAAGACCTATGTAGGTGGTTTCAGAGGTTCCCAACTGTGGTGGTTTTCTTATGGACCCCAACTGTGGTGGTTTATACAGACCCCGACCCATTAAAAAAACACACACACACACACACATCGTTGGGTACCAGTGCCATTGAACCTCTGAAACCATTGTGGACCTAGGAGGTCAGTGTGGACCTAGGAGGTCAGTAGATTCTCTTTTTAACACCTTTTTTGGAGGGCGGTTTCAGCTGAAAACGCGACGCGACGCGACTCGGATGATGGTGTGACTCCTCGGCTTTTCTGTGAAGCCGCGAAGCCTCGAGGAGTCTCGGGGTCTTGGGGTTGAAGAAAAGGGGCGGTCGGCTTGGCGAACGCATGGGACGGTTCGTGAATCCAGTGGATGGGTGGATGGACCATGACTGGAACAGTCCGGACACATCCAGTGTGAAAGCAACCAGGTTGTCTCGGACATTTGCCTTCTCAGAATCTTTAGACAAACTTTTGGGACTCTGCTCTGCACAAGGAGATGGGCTACACATTTTCCTGCGCAATGTCCCCATGGTTGATGTGGTATACCGGGATTATCAGAAGCCTTTGTCTCGTTGAAGACGATAGATCTATGTCGATCCCCACAAACAAGGTGGACCAAGGGGTGCATGACAGTCCGCTTCCCTTGAGTGAATTCGGAGGCGTATATGTCAATGGTGCTGAGCAAGAACATTGATCAGCCACTAGGACTGAAAGAAAGCTCCTTTTGTGCATGGTTCCGACCGTGCACTGAAAGAGTTCCGGCTGTCCCACGGTCTGGAGGGACCCGTTGAAAGAAATGATCAAAACGGCCACCTCATCCAATTGTTGCTCGGGGTGCTTCTGCTTTCCCATTTCTTTTGGAGTCAAACATGGAGGCGTGAGGCATCGAGAAATGGGAGCGGCACCGAATCTGATCTCAAGGCCTCTCTGGGCATCGTCCTTCCCCCAAGATCTACGATCTGATCTTGTCTGAAGCATCACATTCGAGGTTCGGGGAGGAGGATGGAGACGCGACGAAGGCACTCAACAGCTTGGGCAACATTTTTCGCTTGCAGCACAAGCGCGTGGAGGCACAAGAGTTTCTGCGGCAAGCCTTCCGGACGCCTGGTGGAGTTGGACGGAATTGGGGGTTGGGAGAGAGATGGACACTCGATACAGGAAACCTTATGGCAAACACAGTTTTTGAATGTTTTTCTTCAGAGATGCAGAGCGTTGCTGCTATCAGTGCTCCTCAAAAAGTCTTCACCATTTTTGTGTCTCACTAGAGCAGAGAGTGTCCAGCAACGGGTTCCAAAGGCCAAGCAAGAAGCCGACTTGAAGTCCTCCATCCGTCAGTGGATCCAACTCCTGGCTCTCTTGTTGGTCGGGACCTCACATCTTCCAAAGCCTAAGGCCTAAGGCTTCAGGCGGCCGAAAGAAGCACCTTTTGTGTTTCATTCAGGAGCCCCGTTCGTAGCTTCTTGTTCCTAGTAGTAAGGCCAGGAGCCCCGTTCGTAGCGTCCTTGCTCCTAGTAGCGATGCCAGAAGCCCCTAGTAACGTCCTTGTTTCATCCCCCCAAAAACAAACCGGTCCAATTTGCAGAAGCCACCAACACCTGTGCGATCGAATGGTGTGGACAATTCACCCCATGATCCTCATGACTTTCCAGAGGTTGAAGGACCTGCCTGTTTGACTATCCTGGTTGGGTACCCCAGGTGACGGGTCCGAGAAAATGGTCACTTGACCTCTCTTTGTGAGAAATCGCTTGGCCACCTGGGTGTACTCTCAGGAAGCTCCAACGGCGCTATGGGGTGGATCACCCGAAGACCCTGGCGGCCCTGTTGCCAGACCATGTGGGGTCACAGCTCACAGGAACATCTGAGACCCTGGTTGTCAAAAGCATTTAATCCGGGAAGTGTTTTCGGACATGGAACCTGATGGCATGGACCTTTGAAAGACTGGACCTTGGACTCGAAAAAAGCCCCCACCGTGGTCTTCAGACCGGAACCACCCGTGGGTCTCGGAACCCGGGCTGTTTGAACTCGAAGCGGTCACCAACCGGTCGCCAGTGGAGACTTCAGGTTGGCAACAAGGCGATGACTTGAAGTTGTCACGCATTTACTCTTATCCAAGTTGGCAACTCTTATAACCCTTTGCCACCCTTTTGCCGCAGGGTTGAAGAACACAGTCGAAACAGCCCGAACGCAGGAATGTTCGGAACAATGACACCAATCCTTGAGTATAGGGACGTTGAACAAGAGCTTTTTCGGTAAAGACATGTGTCAAAAGAATAGCCTTCCTAAATAAACGGCTGGGAGAACCTGAGGCCCTTGATGTCCCAATGGGAGATGTGAAAGGCCTAGGGGAAGGATTAGTACTGGCAGCCACGACCCAATGTGAGTTGCTGTATTAGGAACTGGAAGGACAATTCCTGGTGGATGAAAAGAAAACAGGAACAGAGTTGCACTTACCTGGATGGATGCTTCATCGAGATCCTGGGTGGCGCAACTTCACTCACTCGGGGTCTGTGTGCTTGGTGATATTTTAGGGTGTGCAGCGCCTGTCCAGCTGAACTCCAACGCCCTGAGGTGAATGTTCCCGATCCTTCATCCTTTCCTCTCACCACGAAGCCTCGAGGCTTCAACGGGCGATTCGCATGAAGCCTCGGGAGCCCGTTCTGCCTCACCCAGAGACTACCGCTCCCAGAGACGCAGACTGGGGCTGGACTGTTCTTCACGGACGCCTGGACCGAGGTTGGACTTCGCCTCCTTCACCACGCCCGACGAGGCCGAGGCCCTCTACACCGAGGCCTATGGCCGTGGCTCGGGAAAGCGACTTATGACGAGAGAGTTCGTGGTTTGGGTGACCAAGAGAGAGTCAACTTCCGCAGTTGCTGGGAGTTGCCTGCTTTCTGCTCTTAAGAGGATCCTTAGACAAGATTTTTGGAAGGTGGGTATATGGCCTGCAGATCCGGATCCAGGGTGGTTCCATAATTAGGCCATTTGCTGCGCCAAAGGTTTGTGTCAGTGCCTGGTTCTCCTTCAGATTGAAACCATCCACCCTAAGCCGGATGAAACATCAACATGTCTCTTTCGACACCACCAGAACAGCAGAACCCTCGGCCTTGTTTTGGTTGAATCAAGGAATTTGTCATGCTTCTTGTTTCTCACGGCCAGAAAAAACCAAGTCCTTACTCATTCGGGCTAACCCCAAGTGAAGAACCGTCTCCGGTGCCATTCCTCGACTGACCTTGGGACTGGCAGACTGACTTCCCTCCAGACGCGCTGCGCTGACCTCCCTCCTTGCACTGAGGCTTTCAGCAGCAGCTGGGGGATGCGCATCCCGACACCATGAACTGCAAGATGTTACTGGCGCAGACGAAGCTGTCGCTGGGGAACCGCAGCGAGGCCAAGGAAGACTTCGATGATCTCTTCAAGAAGCGCCCAGTTGAGAGCGAAATGGGCTTAGGGAGCGAGTGGGAGCGAGGTACTTCACAGCCACCAGTGCCGCCCCCGGTTCACGGCTGTTGAGGATTTGTACTAGATAGAAGAGGGGAACATCAGACAACAGTGTCAACCGGACCATTGTTGGGTGCCTGTTTATCAGGTTTGCCAGCTACACGAGGTTCTGCCGTTGCTGCCTGTTGCTCTTGCTTCTCGCGGCTACCATCTTCAAACAATTGCCTAAACTTAACCACGTACCGAAGCGCTGATTTCACGTTCCCAACGGAACCGGGGTGGAACGTTCTTTCTCTAGTGAAAGGACCCTGAAGGCTTCTCGTACATCATCATGGTGAACCTCAATCTAGGCCGAACTTCAGCGTTGTGTGGGGGAGTTTGTTTGATGGAATCTGATTACTTGTCAGTGGGTCTTCCCTGTCTTTTCAACATGCATTTGAAGACTAATTTACAGTAGTATATAATGTTTCCTTTAAATACAGTCTTTCACGTTCAGCTTTGGTGTTGCACAACAGCAGGAAAGCATGGAAGGCCTACCGAGGCCTACGGCAACCAGCGGAGACCAAGCAAAGACCCCTGGCGTGAGGTTCACCTACGGACCCGTGAAACAGATCTCTAAGCACCTCACCGGGCATAGGTTCAGCACATCACAGGGCCTCCACTCCCACACCGCTCGGCCTCCACCCCGGTCTACCTCGTTCCCCACCGGATTGAAGCCCCTGGACCGACCACGCGACCCGGACTTGAGGATCAAGAAGCAGCTGGGCGCTTCGCATCCGCATACGCTGGCGGCGCACCGCGGCTGGCTCATCGCTTTGAGCGAAGAGGGCGAGTTGGGCAGCGCCCTCTACCACTTTGGACGTGAGCTGGGTCATGCGCCCCTACCAGGTGGAGTTGGGTGGTGTGTGTCAGGGAGCTTTATAGTCTCATCTAAGGGTTGGGATCAGAGGTAGGACATTTTTTTGCTTTGCCGGCTCGGCCAAGTTGTTCTATGCACAGTAGTATGCTCTGGTAGTAGTAGGCATTTCATTTGTGTCCACTCATATGCAGGCATGCACACCACCACAACTACCTCTCCTACACAAATCTAGTCCAGCACATGCAGGACAACCAGCCTCCAGCTCCAGGGTACGTATTGACGTGCGTCCTCAATATCAGAAGCACGGCGGAATTTCACTGAACATATCATGTGCCGAAGGTTCGGAGACAGTCCACTCAATCTACTCTAAGAATCCGGGCCCTCAAATACATGGGGTTTGGTTCGGGTTCGGACCCCTGCGAAGGTGTCGGGTCCGACCCCTGCCATGGAGGGCCTAAGGATTCTTAGTGCAGAGAATATGCCTTTTCACATTCTCATTTTCGTTCCTTAATCTGCAAATCCGCCCTCGCTGTTTGTCACCAACAGGATGCGCACACACAGACACACCATACACACGGTGTGTGTGTGTGTGTGTGGCAGTGCTTAGGGTATTCTTTCAAATCTGCAGGACTATGTTGATAGGCACCCCTTTCTGTCCTCTTTCGAATGGCGTGTCTCAGTGAGTGACTCCTCTTTTTTGTTGGTGCGTCACTGAGTGACTCGACCTGATGGTCTTCATCTATCGACCGAACGTTCGGTGCGACCGACCAAATAAGGGCCACATCGACCGAGAAAATACACTTCCCTCGCTCGCGGGTCAGAGGTCCGCGGTCCGGAGGGGTCAGCGGGCGAGTCGGAATGAACTGAAGCCGACTCCTGGGATGGAGGGAGTTGCAGGCAGTCTCTTGCTCCTGGAGATCTTCTTCCACTTCAGCTTGAGGAAAGGCACCTGGACGCAAGAACTAGCTAGTGAAGATTGCCCATCACTTTTTTTCTGGAAGTCTGTTCTGTTCTTTGGCCTGGTTTTCGAACAACGTAGATAGATCATCCTGCTTTGGGGCTCCGGTTGAGGGAATACGTGTTGGGTTTCCAAACAGGCTTGCATTGCGCCGACGTGGTCGCTAGTCAGCTAGACGGCAATGGCATTGATTGACGACATCTCATGGGAGGTAGTGTCAAGTGAAGGAGGGAATCCTTCACAGACTTTGCGATTTCCTGCCGACTTGACACTCACAGGAGGAGAGGAGGGCTCCGACCAATGGCAGGATCAATTTCAGGATATTCCAAACGATTTCGACAATCCTGTGAAGCCTGACAAGTTTTCCAAGGGCACCTATTGGATGGCCAGATGTGGTGAAGAAGTTTTTGGCATGGTGGGTATTCCTCCGTCCTTTGGGTTTTCCAGCTCTCCGGCTTCTGCGTCGAGGGGAAGTCCCAACGGCAAGGCCTTGGACGAATGCTTTCTGTACAAAGTGGACCGAATCCACAAGAGGTTTACTTTGTGGACGCTTCGAGACTACCATGACCATGCCATCAGGTTGTATGAACAGAATGGCTTCTAGCTAGACAAAGAGTTCAAGACCAAGTTTTTCACAGCTTGTAGGTTCGTCCGACCAGCTCACTAGCTAGCAGCTATAGCTCTTGGTTCGACAGCATCGCTGTCCGACACAATAGAGGAGCAGAAGATGCCATTAAAAGTGCCATTGGGTGGGTGGTCATCTCAAAGTAGAAACATTGAGCTACACAGCAACGCTACTAGGGGCTCCTGGCCTTACTACTCGGAGCAAGAAGCTATGTCCGGTAGGCACAGGGCGTATCATTCTCAGAGTCCGTAGACCCCAGAGGGATCCAAGATGTTGTCAGGCTAAGATCCGAAGCTGTGTTTTCTAGGGTGGGACAATTGGAGGTTTCGACGAAAAAACCCGCATTCGTTTGAGGGATCCGAACTCTTTGTCGCCAAGGCCTTCTGGGTGTGCTATTGCTCTTTGCCTTGGGCCTCTACCTCTACTCGCCCTTCTTTGTGGCTAGCTTCCTGTGGGACGCACAGCTGGGCGATCCCAGCATCTGGCTCTTGACGGTCTGCACACAGAGCCTTGGGACGTGTTTTCGACGGGACTGTAGACAGAAGACCCAGTGTAGAGAGGGCACACCTTTGACTCCAGTTCCGACAAACACAGCAACTGCCGAAATGAGCCGGAGAATTAGGTTCTTCTCTCTCTCCCCCCCCCCCCCTCTCTCTCTCTCTCTCTCTCACTCACTCACTCTCTCTCTCTCTCTCGCTCTCTCTCTCTCTCTCTCTCGCTCGGGGCTGCAACGTTCGTTTGTCGCAGGCGATGTATGTGCAGTATTTTTGCGTCGCTAGCCACATCTAAGGATCTGGCTCTTTCAAGTGATCCTTCTGCTGCCTCCTGGATCAATGGCAATACTATAGTCAATAGCTGGTTTGGCACCCTCAAACCCATCCATTTCCACCGCGATGTTCCGTCTCCTCTCTGCCAGATTTCAAGCCAGTGAACCCCTTCGCCTTGGGCGCCGACAGCGAACCGCCAGACAGCGAACGGCCCGAGGTGTCAAGTGCTGTCGCCAAACCGCCGAGCTCTGCGGAGCTTCAAGGGGCTGCAGATCAATCTGACACTCTTCTTGTGCAGCCTTTTGCTGGTGATTCGGGTATGGCTTCTGGAGTTCTCATGGCCACTTGTCCGACTTCCGACTTGCCCCTCAAAATTATTGTTCTCTCTTCTCAAGCATGGTTTCCCTGCAAGTTCTTGAACTTTTGTCTCAGTGATGAATCCAATGGACTGCCTCTAAGACCTTTCCAACTTGGCAGGGACCGAGCTGATACCCTAAGTACGTAGATGCGAAAACTTCAGCCGAACGCATATTTACGCATTTTCCTGATACGTGTAGAGGCTTGTTTTTTTAAAGCTGTTGCATGCACACAAGCAGCTGTTGCACGAAACCCGCTCTTTCCACGCACAAACCATGGAGCTCGAGCACCGAGGTTCATCGTGACGGGGCCCTGGTATTTGCTGGAACTCCTTTGGCTTTGCTTCTGGCTCAGTGGTTCTTGTGGTGCTGGTGCCGATAGTGGGCTTCGCCATGGGAGCTCGAACCAGCGGCTTGGCGGGGGTGTGGTGGAGTGGCCATGGTCTGTTTTGGAATTGAAAATGCTTTCTTTCCGACCCTTCCTTTTTCGCCTGCTGGGAGGTTGGGACTTTGGTTGATGTTGGTGCTCTAATTATATGTTCTTTTCCACTATTGTTACTAGTTGCTAGACTGTGAGGATTTTCTGGACCAGCGGGTCACCATACAGGCTGATCCAATGTCCATCTCCCATGTCATAGGTCCCACGACCACCGCAACAACAAGAGTATAAGCATCCCCTCTCTCAGCTATGCCCTATGGAGGGTTCCAGCAAGACGGGACACTTATGAGACAAGGCCACGTGCAGATCTTTGCCCATGTGATTGTCTCTTGAGCATGTTTGCTTCGAAATCATCGGTTTTCCCATCGATGTGGCGAGAGAAAGTTGGTTGGTAAATCTCAGAAAATCCATGCCAAGTCAAACAGCTTTTCCCACTCTCAAAAAAGACTTGAAAGACCTAAACTCAACATCTAAGAACATGATGTCACGTGCGCACACGCGTCGGAAGATGAGGAGATGAGGGCGTTTAGGGTGGGGATAATGGCGTTCGTTTGGAGGTGCTTCAAACATGATGCCACGTGCACATAGAACAGACATGGGGAAATGGGGGTGCCTTTCTTAATGATGTTCGTTTGGAGGTGTTTCTAAAATGAAAGGAGTGACATCTCCAAGTCAGCCAGACCAGATCACGATGAAGCAAGAGGAATCCTTGGCTTTGTTGGAAGCGCTCAAGCTTTCTCCCATGCCTTTTGGCAGGCGGGGGTAGAGCAACCAATGCCTACCCCAAACCATCTCCACTCACTGACCACTGGTGTGGTCAAGGTCCCATCAACTACTTTCAAGAAATTCTTTGAGATGGTGGGGGTGGATGAGGTCTATGTGGGGTGGTATGGCATGAAACAATACCTGTTGCCCACCACCCAAGAAGTGTTGGAGGCCATCAACGACGTACCCAGCCTCCACACTGCCTTGGACCTGTGGATGATGGTGAGAGAAATTGCTGGATAGATGGACCCAACCACATGAAATGGTGGAAGCACGCAGCCAGCAACTAAACCGCCATCTTGTGCTGATTTCGAGCTATGTCCAAACCAGCATGGCTTCTGGTGCCCGAGAGCCCCTCCGACCACAATATCCAGGTCAAGACCCTGTTGGGCTTTCTCTTCCGACGGCCAGCCCCATGAAATCCCATGAATTGTCAGTGCAATGCCTGGATGACTCGGGGTCGGGAGGCAGGCAGCCAGCCAGCCAGGCTGCTCCAAAAATACTTCAGAGGGTTAATGACCAGTGGGCACACGCATCGGCCTTGAAGCCAGACAAAAAATGAGCGAACCAATTCTTAGAAGCACCTTCAAGCCAAGGTCGTTACCCCCCAACCCAACTCCATCTGCCGACGCAAGTGTGCATTTGGCAACATCTAGCATCAGCAAAAAAAATCAAAAAAATGCGTTTACATAACCAAGCAGCAAAACGCAATGACCAAACATCGAACACAGACACGCCCCGCGAACGCCGCGTCCAACCTCGTGTTCGTTTCTGACCCTGGGAACGAGACCAACACACCGTGGTGATCACTCAGGAGTTCCGTTCCATGCGTGGAGCGCTCCTTGGCCTCTTTGGAGCGTCTGGTGCTGCTGCTGCTGGTGGCGCTCCGCGCTGACCTTGCAGCAGATCCGGAGATCGGGCGCATCCCCTGGCGAGCCCGGCTGCAACAGGGTGGGAGGAAGTGTTCCGTGGCGCCGGTGCAGAAAAGAGAGAGTTCTTGTAAAAAGGGATCGGTTTGGAGAGGTGAACTCTCCAACTGCATCATTGCTTTGATTTTGAAGTCAAAGGAAGCTGGGGCTCCATCATATTGTACAGCTGAACTTTACGGACAATGGTCACTTTCCAAGATAAAGCACATACTCATACGCTTGTTGAGCTGCCAGGGCAAAGAACCAGGTTCTTTTGACTGTCACTATTACACAAACTGACCGTGGGGCAATGCCCACCCTGACTTGGCCAGGGCCGGACGTTTCTTTTTTCCAGAAAACCGTCCTTTGAAATTTCACACGTCCTTCCCGAGGGTCGGACATGTCCTGACATGGAACCGTGCATTTTGACGTTCTCTCTCACACATGCGATTTTCTTCGCCAAAGCCACATCCTCCGAACCCTGGTCCGAAGGTTTTCGCGGAGTGTTTCTTCCAAACAAATAATTCTTGAGAAACGCGAGACTTGCACCCCATGACCTTTGGACGGTTGTGCTCACGACATGTGTTTCATGTTGTTCACCTGGCCGAAAGGCCTTGAGCTGTTTGGCGCGAGAAAAGCGCGGAGGTTGGCAGGAAACCTCACGGCCCCGCTTCGTTCGGTCGTGACATCCCCCAGCCTTCCATAGTGGTTGCGCGGAGCTGGACGAGCTTGCGGACCTTTGTGGTTGAGCCCTGACCGGGCCTTGGACCTTTTTCCCTGCGGTGACCTTCGGCTTTTTTTTGCCTCCTTCCTCTTCAAGCAGACGCTTGAGGGTCGCCTCGGAAAGGTCAGTTCGGCCCCGACATCGAGCAGAGGACATCTTCTTCTCCTACGACCTGAAGGTCGAGCTCTTTGCATGATGGTGGAGGAGAAGGATAAGAGCTATGGGTATGCCAGTGGATGGTCGGAGTCCGGCTTCGATGCCAGCATCCCAGTCTGGGATGGAAGGCCGGACAGCTTGAGAGAGTTTCGCAGGACTGTCACATGGTGGCTCTCAAGCATCGACCTCACGAAGACGAAGTTCTTCAACTTGGCAGCACGCTTCGCAATGAAGCAGCGTGGATCGGCCCGTCTTCGTGCCCAGGAGTTCTCTCCAGAGGATTTGGCATACCTTCCTGAAGAGAGCGTTGATGACCCCGACAAAGAGGGCGAGAAGATCATCATCCAGGCGGCTGACTACACGGTGGGTGTGTGGAAGCTGATTGATGCCTGGGAGCAAATGGTGGGCAGAACAGTGAGCGATAAGAAAGGAGAGCTTCGAGAACGATTCTACATGACATTGAGGCGCTCTCCAACTGAAGCTGTGATGACCTTCAGCTTGAGGTATCGCACGCTGGTTGCCGAGATGAGGGCTGAAGGCATCACTTTGGATGATGCTGAATCAGCCTGGTTCTACAAGCAAAAGCTCGTCCTCAATGAGGTCCAGAAGCAATTGTTGGAGACCACGCTGAGCTCCACCGATGAGACGTATGCTGACTGCGAACGTGAAGCAGTCAGGCTGTTCAAGAGGATCCACATGATTGGTGGCCATGCTCAGCCCTCCAACCAAGGTTCCATAGCTTCTCTGCGAAAGGCACCTTTTCGACCACCTGGCTCAGGCAAGGGTGGCTGGCGCCGACCTATGTCCTCTTCATCGACGACCGTGTCGGCTTCCTCATCGTTTTCCCGAGGTTCCTCCTCCCGAATGGGACTGGGTGCCTCAGCGGTGAACGTGACTGAAGCTCAAGACCCCGACTATGAGGACCAAGATGGTGAGTTTGAGGCCATGGAGGCCATGGGAGAAGAGGACATGCAAGCAGAGATGCCTGAAGGCGACGCTTTGCAAGGACTTCAAGATGAAGTTGAAGTGTTGGCTTCAGAGTTGGAAGCGACCGCGAAGGAAGGCTGCGATTCTCAGGAGCTTGACGCTCTTGAGGAACAGTTGGAAGGTGCAGTTGAGGCTCTCGTCACACTTCGAGAAGCCCGAACACAGATCGCAGCAATGCGAAAAGATCGGGGCTTTCGTGGACCAGCCCCTGGATCTCAAGATCCGAAGAAAGCAGCTAAGCAAGGCACATGCCATGTTTGTGGCCGAGAAGGCCATTGGAAAGGAGACCCAGAATGCCCTGGACCTGGCCATAGTGGCACCAGCAACAGCAAGGGCAAAGGTGGCAAAAAGGGTCGATTGCAGTCAGCTTTGAAGGGCAGCACCGGCAAACGTCCTTCGGAGTCCCATGTTTCGGAAGCCAACATCGTTGACCTGTTGCCCCCAGTTCCTGAGGTGACCTTTGATGATGGACCCCCTGAAGTACATGAGGTGTTTTTGAGTGAGCATCAACTTCATGAGCATGAAGTTTGCGGGATTGAACGGCTGTCTGAGGTCCTTCAATCCCTCAACTCGAACAACAACCCCCAGATCTCCCACGACAAGTTGCTGCAGGCAGCCCTGGACAGCGCTTGCAACCGCTCGTGTGCTGGTGTTGCATGGATCAAACATACAGAAGAAGCACTACAACGGGCACCCTCCTATGTCCAAAGCTTGATCCGTCGCACTCCAGAACAGGAACGGTTCCGGTTCGGGAACGGTGGAGTGCTCACCAGCCGGGAGAGAGTTCGACTTCCGATGCTGCTCGCAAACCGCATCGTCTTGATTTGGGTTTCTTCGGTGCCAAGTAGCAGTTTGGGTCTACTGGTGGGTAAGGACTTTTTGGACTCCCTCGGTGCCGTCATCGACTTTTTGCACAACCGGGTCAAATTTCAGTTGCTTGCAGATGATCATTGGGTTCGTCTTCATAAGTTGAAAGCTGGTCATTTTGCCGTGCCTTGTTTACCAACCCCTTTGCATCAGTGGCCTGAGTTGAGTTCTTTGCCCTGGATCCCCATCGGAAGAGATGCATGTTGTGAGATTCAAATTGCTAGCAAAGAACAATGGATTTTGAAGCGTCTTCACAAGTCAGTTTCAACTCCAGCCTCTGAAGTGAATGTCACTGAGCACTTTGTTCCTGCAGTGTTTTTGGAGCAAGAAGCAGCCGAAGATCTTCATCCTTGGCATGGAGCACGGTGCGCCGGTATGCTGCTGGCAGCCGAAGGATCGAGCTCCAGTGCGCTGGGGCCGGATGTTGGTGAGGCTGCTGGCGAGGAATCGCTGGCATTGGCAGGGCATTTTGCTCTGGATGATCCAGCGCCCATACCTGAGAGGACTTCCACCTCCGCTTCCATCAGTCTCGACTCCGACCGAGTGGGAGCATCAGACGGCCGAAATGTGCAAAAGGCGATCGTGGCCGAGAAAGTGGGCTCATTCCCTTATGAGACAGGGAGAGAAGTTTACGTTGTTTCATTTGAAGGATTCGATGCACCTGCGAGACAGGATGGGCCTCGAGTTGAGCTTCATGGAGGACGACGCCATCCTCTTCGGCATCCAGGCATTGAAGAAGAAGCCAAGACGCAAGATGCAAGAGGCACTGGTGATGGAAACTCAGCGACTCCTCCAGCTCAACGACGCCGATCGCACGATGCAGCTTCGTTCATTGCTTGGGCCCAGAGGAGGATTGCCCAGGCTCAAGGACGAACTTGTCAAGACGGCCACGCTCCTGAACACCAAGGTGGAGCCCAACGAGACAGTGGAGCAGCTTCGCAGGAGACTTCAGCCGATCGTCAAAGACCTCATGGCAAAGCCGGAATGGGTGGCACCTCCCATAAGTCCACCGGAATCAGTGCTGAAGTCCAAGGCGAAAGCCAAGCCGAAGCCATCTTCAGTCCCTCTGCCAGCGAGAATGACACCAGCCTCGGTGTTCGATCTCCCTACAGCCGATCGCCTGATCGATCACATGACTCAGGATCATCTAGCTGGTCTATCTTGGGGAGAACCTCGCATGCCTCGAGAAGCCTGGGATGCCAACTCAGCTCCCCAGAGCCCTGTGTCAGAGATCGAGTTCCATCAGTGGCAGGCCGACGAGGAGATCGCAGACGGGCCATGGATGTTGGAAAAGGCGTCGGTGGTGAGCATGGCTTCGGGCTCGGAGCTGTGAAGAAGTCCATTGGCAAGATCTCAAAAGTGAGCCTGCAAGAGCTCAAAACTGGTTTGCGACAGGCAGTTCACCAAGGCTTCAAGAGACTTCGAAGACTCCATGAGATCCGCAGCATTGACTATAACGAAGTCCATGACTACCTCGAAGCCTCTGAATATGACCTCAAGATGGCCATCGTTGAGGGTGAAAGAGATTGCTTCCTTGGAGAGACACTCCTGCCTGCGCTACCAGAATTTGGTTCTGAAGGCCAAGTACTACAAGCTGCGCTCCAGTATGCCAAGAAAGGTCCTTTTCTTGGCGAGACCTTCACTGACACCGAACAGGTGCGGCAGCAAGCTGAGAAGCGAGGCCATTCGACGATGAAGAGTATGACCTTGGCAACGGGCTATGACTTCATGAAGGACTCATCACAGCGGCAAGCGCTGGAAGAACTGGATGAGGAGGCACCATATGCCCAGATCATCGCCTTCCCCTGTGGTCCATGGAGTCCGCTTCAAGCACTTCGTGCAAAAGATCGCCACAGAGCACTCCTGTTGAGGTGGCGAAGAAGGAAGCACAAGAAGCTCGTGGACTTTGCAGTCAAGATGGCTCGTCGACAAATGGCCCGTGGTGGTCACTTCATCTTGGAGAACCCCTCTCGTAGCCTGGCTTGGAAAATGATTCCTTCGTTGAAGAAGCTCTTGGATGAGCCTGGCTTGTTTTTGTGCGAGCTGGATCAGTGCTCATTTGGTCTTCGAGGCCCTGGAGGAGGACTTCACAGGAAGAGGACTTGGGTGCTGACTTCATCGGAGGAGGTTGCAAAGGAGCTCTCCGGTCATCTTTGCAGTGGTGGCCATGAGCATGAGCATGTGATTGGAGGTAATGTGGCTCGTTTTGCTGGACACTACTCTCCGGACCTGGCTTGCGCCTTTGTCCGTGGCCTGGAGAAACAGTTCGTGCGAGAAGGGAACTCAGAGTTTGAAGTGATGATGGGTGAAGGAGAAGCTGGCGATGAAGCAGAGCCTGAAGGACAGCTCAATCCCTATGAGGATGATTTTGACATGGAGGATGACCTGGATGTGGACCAAGCTTTGGAGCCTACCCGAGCTCAACGACAAGCAGTGCTCAGGCTTCATCAAAACACAGGTCATCGAGCTCCTCTTCGGTTGGCCAAAGCCTTAGCTGTCTCTGGCGCTGCTCCTGAAGTGATCAAGGCGGCCAAAGAGCTTCGTTGTGAGGTTTGTCAAGAGACCCAGAGGCCTACTTCACATCGGCCATCTTCCTTGCCAAAGCCTCGACACTTTGGAGATCAAGTACATGTTGATTTGGTGGCCATCAAAGACATCCACCAACAGACTGTGTGGGTCATGCATGGCATTGATGCAGCCAGCGGCTACCAGATCGCCCAGACAATGGAGAACAAGAGCTCAGATGAAGTGGTGCACTTCTTCAACACGCACTGGATTCCTGTGCTTGGTGCTCCAAAGCTCGTGGTCAGCGATTGTGGCCCAGAGTTCACTTCAGACAAAATGCAAAGCTGCATGGCTTTCCATGACATCGTGTTGTACCACACGCCCGTGGAAGCACCTTGGGCCAACGGCCTGGCAGAAAGAGCCGGAGGTTCATTGAAGGTGATCCTTGGAAAGCTCATCAAGGACTACTCTTGTCAGGGACGCCGTGAAGTACAAGAAGCCCTTGCAGCAGCTGTTGATGCATGCAATCAAGACATCGGCTCAGCTGGTTACTCTCCAGCCCAGTTCGTTCTTGGCAAACAGCCGAGAGTTGCTGAGGAGGTGATCCCCAATGACCTTCGTTTGCGCCTCTCCACTCATTCGCTGCTGGAGAACAGTCCATCTTTGGCTCGTCAAGCGGCCATGAAAGAAGCAGCTCGAGTGGCACTTGTGAGAATGAAGTACTCACAGGCTTTGAGGAGGGCAGAGTTTTCGAGGGCAAGGCGGGCAACTTCCTGGCAGGCCTACAAGCTTGGTGATGTTGTCTACTTCTATAGGCAGCAGAAGGTGGCTCCTGGAGGTGGAACAAGAGGAACCAAGCGCAAGCGCCTCATCCTCAACCAGTGGCATGGTCCGGCAATGGTCACTGCCATTGAAGGCGGTCGAACTCCAACTGTGGCCTACCTGGCCTACCGTGGCAACTTGACCAAATGTGCCATGGAGCATATCCGACCGGCTTCCACCTTGGAGCGACTGGCAATGAGTGAATGGGAAGAACTTCTTGCTGATGTGATCAACGCCTCAGCTGGCCCTGATGATGAGGTTCAGCCTGATGGCCCTTCAGAAGAGGATGATGGAGATGGTGGAGCACCTGGTGATGAACAACAGCCTGATGAAGCAGGCCGTCCTAGTGATGATCAAGCTGGCTTGATGCAGCCGACAGTTCAAACCAGTTCTCGCTCTGGCACTCCAGCGGTGACTTTTCCATATCCTTTTCAAGCTCAAGATCTGACTCCAGCATTGCAGTCAGCAGCAGCGAGCTCAGCACCTCAGAGCTTAGCGAACTCATTGACTACCTCAAGGCGCTCTTCATTGAGCTCAGCTTTGCCTCTTGGATCGATGTCTCGACAGACTTCTGTGGCGAAGCCAGGTGGTGGTGATGAGGAAAAGCTGGAGGCAGTGGCGGAGGAACCGGCAGAAGCTGAGCAGGCTCTTCCTTCACAGCCTGACCTGACTGCAACAGCTCCAGTGACAGGATCGACTGACCCTTCGAGCAGTCCACCTGATCCTCTTGGAGGTGCGGTGGGACCCCTCCCGTCGACGGCTTGGCCTCCGGTTGAGGTGGGCCCAACCCCTCCGGTCGGGTTTCATCCGAGACTCGAACGCGCTCAGGGCTCAGTTCGACGTGCACTTTCAGAAGGTGCAGCTGAAGAGAGGGATCCGAAGAGAAGGAGCATGGTGCCTTTGCAATTGGGCGGTCGCAGCATTGACGTGCTGCTAGCTGAGCAGGACACAGTGATTCACCCACTTCTGCGAGCAGCTCTTCAAGCCCAGGAGGACATCAAGAACAACTACCTCATGGAGGAGGACCATGGCACCTGGGATGGTCGGTGGCCTCTTCCATCAAGAGGAGACTGGGAGACCTATGAGGTCGCGAACTGGAGTTGGCCTTCTGGAGGAGCTGACATGCAGGAAGTTCTGGAGGCACAGACTGGAGGAGGAAACCACAAGGAGCTGCGATGGTCGACCATGGATGAGGAGACAAGAGCTCAATTCCGCACCGCAGCTGAGGAGCAGTGGTCCAAGTGGGTTGAGAATGGCGCCATTGAGGTCCTTGATTTGGTTCAAAGCCGCCAGATTCGACAGGAGCTTGAGAGAAAGGGTGAACTTGACCGCATCCTGCAGCCCAGATTCGTCCTCACCGACAAGAACAGTGGCATGCGCACACCACAGTGCCCTCTTCCACTGAAGGCTTCAGCAAGGATTGTGGTTCCAGGTTATCGTGACTTGGCAAACTTGCGCAATGAGCTGCGCAGAGATGCTCCAACTGGTTCAAGAATCGCACAGCACACCTTGTTTTGCATTGCGGCTGAGCACCCAGACTGGTTTCTTCGATCAGCAGATGTGCGAGCAGCCTTTCTCAAGGGTGATCCATATGTGAGGAGAGTTCTTTACATCACCTCCACGAATGCTTCAAGAGGCCCTTCGATTCCAATTCCTCATGGCGGCCTTGCAAGAGTCCTCAAGGGAGTTTTTGGCTTGGCAGATGCGCCAAGGGAATGGTGGCTCCGTCTCTCTCGAGAGCTGAAGCAGGAAGGTTGGACAATCTCCCAGCTGGATCAGGCCCTTTGGTTTCTTTGGGAGCATGGCAAGGAGGAGAAGAAGCTGTGTGGAGCCATTGTTGGGCATGTTGATGATTTGTTGTTCACAGGCAACCAGAGAGCCTTGGACTCGCTTCTTCGACTGGGCGAAAAGCTTGGCTATGGGTCCATTGAAGCTGATGACTTCCATTGGTGCGGCAAGAGAATTCGCCGTGACAGGGACACCAAGGAGATCATCATCAGCATGACCACCTACCACCAGCAGCTGAAACCGCTGGTCATTCCACGACAGAAGCGGCTAGCTCTGGATGCACCATTGAGCCCAGCTGATGTGAAGAGGCTGAGAGGCATCCTGGGGTCGCTGCAATGGGTTGTCGCTCAGGTCAGACTTGACCTTGCTTTTTTGGTCAGCAGCCTACAGAGTGCACCTCACACCATGAGCGCATTGTTGCAAGCTAACAAGGCCCTGCTTGAGGCGAAGAAGCATGGAGATTTTTCGTTGAAGTTCAAGCGGATTCCTTTGGCTACCGCTGGTGTTTTGATGGTTTGTGATGCAGCATTGGGCAATGTTGATAGCAGTGGTTCAGTGGCTGATGCTCCAGAAAGCCGCGTTCACAGCCAAAGCTGCTATGCCATTTTGCTGGCAGACCCTGCACTCTCCGAGGGCAAGCGTGGGATGTTCAATGTGGTGGACTTCAGAAGCCATCGATTGGCTCGGGTTTGCCGGAGCTCCTATGCCTCGGAAACGGTTGGCGCTGAGGAAGGCATGGATGCTGCTGAATTGGTGAGAGGCTTCATTGCAGAAGCTCGTGGAGTCCCACTACATCCACATGGCTACTGGCAGATCACCCGAGTTCCTCTGATGGGTGTCACTGATGCGAAAGATTGCTTCGATCGCATCACTTCCGACACAGGATTTGGAAGCCAGAAGTCTTTGATGTTTTCAGTAGCTGGCTTGCGACAGCAATTGCGCCGTCCTCAGACGAGCTTTCGATGGACAGCCACGTCCAACATGTTCGTCGACGCTGGAACGAAAGCCATGGATGGCCAACACCTTCGTGAAGCCCTTCTTCGAGGTGAATGGAGCGTGGAGTTCCAGCCGGACTTTGTGAAGCAGACGGCAAAGCGAAAGAAGGCATGCGAGAAAGGTTTGGCAGATGGCACGATCCTGCCTGGACGCGAGGCCAACAGCGGAGACTTCCAACTGATGCAGCATGTGCATCACCTGTCCTTGGCTGCCGGATGGCACTTTGTGGACGGGATTGGCATCTTGGTCGCCCACCAGGCCAAGAGCTTGAGAGGACCCACTCCGAGGTTCGCTCTGAGGGATCATCCGCTCCGGACGACAGTGGCCGAATTTAGAGTTCGAGATCAGTCAACATGGCAGATCTTGGAAGAGCGCGTCGATTTGATGGACAAGGCTGTTCACCAAGAACTTTTGCCTGTCCCAGCCAAGACGCTGGTCACTTTCTTTGAGCCACGTCCAAAGGCCACAGAAAATAGGATGAATGAGAAACGCGAGACTTGCACCCCATGACCTTTGGACGGTTGTGCTCACGACATGTGTTTCATGTTGTTCACCTGGCCGAAAGGCCTTGAGCTGTTTGGCGCGAGAAAAGCGCGGAGGTTGGCAGGAAACCTCACGGCCCCGCTTCGTTCGGTCGTGACATCCCCCAGCCTTCCATAATTCTAGTGTTTCATGAGGTCATCACCGTTCCATTCGAGACCCGATTGGTTATATAGTTGCACATGGGTACTCACTAACTTTGGTGCAGGTGGTTGAACGTCATGACACTTCATAGACTCAGATGGAACCTCAGATGAGATCTGAATGCGCCCAGGTATCTCATTTGCATCATCCTTTTCTTCACCTCGTTGACTCGGAGGCTTTTGCGGAGCTGCTGTCGTCGATCTCATGGTCGTTCTATCAGCTGTTCGCAGGTCTTCGGCGGCGTGTCACGGGTGGGTTTGGTCTGGACGACGGACCGGGCGTGAGGGGTCACTGGTTGCTTGCGACAAAGACGCCCTTTTTCGGTACTTTATGTACTTAGAGGGCGCCCCATGGACTCTTGGAACAACATCATCATGTCAGGTGTTCCAAATGCCACCGCATTGATACGATCCTTGCTTTCGTGGTATCAAGGTCCCTTCAGGAATCATTTGGTTCTTTTCTAGAAAGAGGCCACTCAGGAGTTCAAGCAAGACGTGTCTGAGAACGAACTGTTTTCTTGACCTGTCAGAGTTCCTTTTTGGCACTACGGGGCCCGAACGAGCCTCGTTGAATTCCTTATGATCCCGTTGAGGTTGTTGAGGCTTTGTTTGGGTGATGGATGGTCCAGGATGGTCCGAAAACCCAACAGAACAGCGGCCAGGTCTTTCGCACCTGACGCCAGGTCTTTCGCTCGAGTATCTTCAGCTGCATCGTGACGATCAGTCGGATGGATGTCCTGAAGCTGCAGCTGGCAGGTGGCTTCGGCACCCTGCTGGTACTGTGCATCTTGGCTGGCGGCACCTACAAGCTCTATCGGCCACAAGCTCTATCGGCACCTGGGCGGAGGTGTGGGGAGTGGGGCGTGTCTCTCGGGCCGGGCGGACGGTGTTGGGAGTGCCGGGTCCGATAGCCAGGAGTTTTCCTGAAGGAGTGAGGTCAAGGAAGAAACACAGGACCCAGGAGTTCCATTGTCGGATGAGTGGATGTGACAGGGGCACCAAGGCACCCCTTTCCTGTGGAACTGCTGGTTTCTTCTGTTGGACAGCATCGAAAAGTGATGAGAGATGGTCTCCTTCTGCGATATTGAACTTGGAGGGGGCGACGAACATCGCCGCAGTCCGGACGCACCACAGACCAAAGAGACCAAAAGGATACCGAAAGACCCGAAAGCGAAAAGAAGCTACCTACTCAGACAGATAGAAACTGGATAGACATGCATAGGACTCCATACAGCGAATCCCCCGAAATAGAGATGGACTTTCCCACTTCGGTGGGCTTCATGCTGGTGAGTGGCATCTTTGCACCGAGGCCCACTGGGTCTCCTTGCCACTGCTGATCCTTGCCTTGTCTCCAGCCTTCTCGCTGTGCATCATCCGAGTGCTGTCCTCCCGACGACGCGCTGTACACGTCCAACGGTCGACGACGCCCTTCACGTGAAAACGGGTGGCGTCCGCGTCAACTCCCAGTGGACCGGTCCACTCGGGGTGTTTGGAAGATCGACTCAGGGTGATCCAAAAGGGGAAGCGGGCTGTTACCCTGGGAAGGTAGATCGGACCCCCCGTTGGCCGCGTCCTGGACGACCAGGATCGAGTGGTGTCGAGTACTCAACCGGGTCCCACCCACTTAGGTTGAGGAAGGTTGATGCACTTTTTTTTCAACGAGCCATGTTGCCGACGTTCATCCTGATCGCTGACGATTCCTTTCAGAACTGCCACCTCTGTTCAATGTCGCCACCGAGAACCGAGAAACGGGTGATGTGGTCCGCCGTTGGATGGGGTTCATCTCAAGGCTCCTCAGGTAGTTCGTCCTCCAGGTACATCCTCCTCCCCGCAGGACCGGGCGCCCACGTGCCCACGCCGCGGACCAGGCGCCCCCATCCGAACATGGACAGCGGAACATGGGAACCCACCGGTGGAATGGTGGAACCACCTCGGTGGAACGCCGGAGTTCCACCGATGGAGGCGCCACCGATGTGGTTCGTCAGAGGTCTCAGCTTTTTGAAAGAACGAATGGTCTCAGCTCAGCTTGGAAGCATGAGTCTCAATTGGGTGGTTGGATACTTGTATGGTTTGATATGGTTGGATAGTTGGTGTCTTAATTCTAGAATCTAGTTCAACCGTCGTCTTTCTGGAACTCAACCGCTGCCTAAGTCGACGCGTGCCACACTGCAGAAGGCAGTTGATCTAAGCCAGAATTGAGTCCTCGACTGGCTTTATGAAGTTGTCGTGTGCCATTGACTGATGGGCTGATGGCCTACGTCTACCTGCAGATTAGCCGATTAGCCTTCCTTACTCAGTCTCGCGCAGATTCACCCATTCTGATCGGATCAACACGACAAATACACTCCGACGAACACGTGGAAATGGAGAGCCCCCTTTTCGTAAAGGAAAGTCAGTGGTCTTGCAAGGGGTCATTTTCCACTTCTATGTTGATGAGTCAGAGTGAACTCACTTGATTTGGGTCTGAAGTGTAGAAGCGGCTGAATGCATCACGCGTGTGGCCACCAGTGGCTCTTTTTGTGAAGACTCCCCACCACTCCTTGTCTGGCACTGCCGCTTCGAGAAGCCGTTTTCAGCACCAACCCGCGCCCTGCGAAACCGCGGGGCCGGCGCGACCCGTTGGACGCGGCGACCAGCGGAGATGTGGACGACCGTGGGGTTTACCGTGGCTGGATGGAGACAGCAGCGGGAATGATGATGTAGACTCTTGATGATATGGTTTTACAATCTCAATGGGGGGTTGAGATATGATCAAGAGTCTACATCAGTGCTAAAGCACTTTTGCATCATGAGGGTAGATGGTGATCATCATCAAAGGCTCAGAAAAGACCCCTCAGTAGTTTGAGGGTTTAGGGTTGTCTTGGAATCATCCAACGTTTCATGACCTTGTGGCACAACCCAAAGATTTGAGCATCTCTATTGCACACCTACTAGAACAGTCAATACTGAAATGAATTGGTCACTTCTGAATCCGTCCGTCGGACCCGCCTATCTTACAGAGACACCTTTTTTTCGCCGTTCACCTGGATTCTTTCCGGCTTCTTCACACCCCAATCCTTCGGCCTCCTTCGGCATGTCGGGTGGTGCGGAGGACTGCACCTCTCCGGTGGCCGGCCACTCGCGCCGAACCTCTCAGGTGGTCTCGGGGTTGCTGGCAGCCTTGGTGTCGGTCTTGGTGCAGCGCGGCTGGCAGGCGCAGAGGGGCGGAAAGAGGAGCGGCTGGCCGTGCGAAACGTCTGACGATTCTGGGCCACGTCCCTCGAGACGTGGCACCAGAGACGCAGGTCACCCCAGGTGCGGGTCACGTGCCCCACTGCGAACTGCTCCTCTCCTTCTCCTCCCGCCCTCCCGCCGTGCACCAACCAACCAGCAACCAACCACCAACCACCAACCAACAACCACCAACCAACCACCACCAGCAACCAACCACCACCCACCAATTGTCCGCTCCTGTGTCTGGTGAAGTTGTTAACATGTGGGGTTATCCGGTCCTATATTTTCTTGTTTTTTTTTGCTGCGCAAAGACAGGTTTTCTAGTTCAGTAGCGGTGAACCTAAAGGCTTGCAAGCACCTGGTTTTGAGGAAGTGTTCAGCTTTCCCACTACTTGGGGGTTGTATGATGTATGCTTCCCTCACATGGAAACCATGGAACATCTTGGTTTGTCTTCACAGATCCTCCTTGCTCTAGGCGTAGTGCCGGGTCCCCACCGGGTCCTTTTGGTCCTTTTGGGATCAAGTCGGTAAGGAGTCGGAAGACGGCCACAGGCTGGATTCTTTTGTCGAGGGATAGAGAAGTTCAATCAGTTTTGAAGGAACCAGGGATGTTTCAAAAACAAGGGACGCCTCAACCAATCAACACAACTTTGCTCAGTTCCGTTCTCTCTTCGGATGTGCGTTCGCCTCGCGCAGGGCAAAGATCTGATACCACACCGCTTGGAAGAGCCCCATGCGTTGCCGAAGGATTTCCACAGCGGTGCCAGGCGCTTCCGTGCGGGACCGTCGTGGTGTTGCAGTGGTGTTGACACTGAGACTACCTTCCAGTTGCCTGGTGCCAGGAAACAGCAATCAATCTAAGCAGAGTGAAACTGGGCCCACTTTGAAACAGCATGCCGGCATCCTGAAATTAGACCAGGTTGATGAACATTGCCACAAAGCTGCCAGGATATTAGTTGCAAAACAGCTTGCAGAATGGAGGCCTGCTCGCATCTTCTTTCGTTTTCTTGAAGCAATTGTCAACATCGTTTGCGTCTTCGGTACTACGGTGGTGTTGCCTTACCTTTGGATGCCAGTTGCTCGGCTTGGTGGAAAGGCTTCTTGTGGATTTGCCCCATCCTTGGACCCCGAAACAACCAGAAATAACATGAAATATAATGAAATAACAATTGGGATGTTCCAATTCTTTTTTCAGTTGAGATCCTTTACAAAGCAAGTGGCTGGGACTGTGGAAACATCCATTCATTTCTGGTTGATTGGGGTTGTTTTGCTCCTTTGGTCGGGTTCTTTTCTTCGTTCCACGTCCAAGACCGAGGTCAGTTGGGTTTCGTCGGGTCTCAACGGAGGGTAACAGGTTCGTGGAGCTTTGCGGTTCCGCACTGTAAAGCAAACCCCAGTTGCCCGTTGGTGGTGGAAAGTATCAAGTTGAGCACTGCAGGTCGTCTTCATGGTGATTGTATTTCCAGCTTGGTTCTTCGAGTGGACCTTTTGCCAACTTTGGGAACAGCCCTCACTGGCCTTTGCCCTACGCAGCCGCCGCCCGACCTTAGCCTTGGCTCGTACAGTCTTCTTGGCTGGTTTGGTGATTGTAGTCCACTACGACGTCTTTGGTCTAGGTGTTTTGCAGAATCCGGAGCGGCGCATCCACATCGGAAGTGTGAACGTAGTAGATCCATGGCCCTTTGGCTTCTTGTACGCCGAGTATGTCATGAATGAAGACATGGCCCAGGCGCGTGGTTTGTTCATGCTTGTTGGAGAAAACGATAGTACATCGGATTGTTGTGCATCCAACCATTCGAGTCGAGGTGCATTTCTGGTATTCGTGCTTACGCTTGGGGTGCCTCTTGCTGTACATCCTCGTGCTGACTGTCATGGTTTTCTTCGTCTGCTGCGATGCTCTTGCATTCCGGGTCGGTCTGAAGGAAAAGAAGGTGGGGTTTCATAGCAACGTCTCGGAATGGTTTACACCCGGGAAGATTAACATGGAACCTGAAGATGGACCTTTGGAAGACCATTTTCCGAATACCAACCCCGTTGTTTTAAGGTTCCATGTGGGTCTCTTCCAGGGTGTATCTTGAGGGACCACCTTGTCACTTTGTTGACATTGCGAATAGGAGAGGAAGAACTTTTGTCTGCGCACATGCTGGCAAAGCGTTCTAATCAAAACAAGTTTGGACGTGTTTGGGTTTAAGAGCCAGACACACCAAGATTCTTGTTTGGGTCTAGATATGATGGATCTCCATGGCACTAGCAACTGGCCACTTAGGCCATCGCCTCGATTTGGTTCGATGAGCACTGAAGGTCATTTCGCCCTAGGTTGTTTGTTCAATTTCAGGCTTATCTTGGGAACTGACACGATCCCCTCACATTCACATTCTGGTGGGTTGGAACACGCGGACGCGCAAGTTCCAGCGAAACGATAACACATGTTGGAATATCAGCGCCGGTTGGGGAATCAGTCGAATCCGAGACCTGAGACCTGGACTCAGAGACGTGACCATATACCAGCAGAGGTTGAAGAACTTAAACTAGACTATCCTATAGGTACCCTTGTAGGGTCCTAGTTCAGGTCACTTAACCTCTGTAGGTATCAGGGGAAGTAAACTACTTTTGAGATTGCCAGGACGCGGAAACTGTTTTTCTGGGGGAAGAAGCCGCGAAAGTTGGTCGGATCTTGATCAGACACTCAGACCGTGCGAACGGTGGATCTGGCGTATCCGCTTTGGCACTGGGCCACAAACGGTGATGCTTGCGGTTTCGATGAGTGGCAATTTTTTCGCAGGGCCTGCTGAGTTCAGGACAGGAGAGATACAGGAGAGTCCCTCGGTACGGCTGCACGGAACCCAGGCATTGCTCGAAACCGCAAGCACCACCGTTTGTGGCGCAGGGCCGTAACATATGCTTGGGCCCCATCTCTGTGTACGAAGCTCACGACTCATCAAACCAGATTGGCCATCCCCAAAAAGTGGGCCAATTTACTGGGTCACTAGTGAGGCCGTAGGCCAAACAAAGCTGGGAGCCTGATGAAGATGACGCATGAGGCAAAAGCAAACACATTACGGTTACCGTAAACTTCCCTCCCAAAGTGATTGAGAGTCCGTTTGTGGTATCCGGCTGTCAGGATGAAGCCAGAAAGGCTGAACGTGTAATAGAGCAGAAAGGAGACGCAATGCAAGAGCAAGCTTGGATGGTGAAACGGCTGCGTATGGGAATTGACAATGAGGGAGTGCGGCGTGAGAATGCTTGCTGGATCTATTTGGATGCTTTCTTGGTCATTACTGACATGTTCTCCGACATGGTGACAATATATCAATTGCTTACGTTTCACAGGTTCGTGTTGGCCTTTTTCATGGTCTGCATTTTTAGCCGCAGCCTACTCCTTCAAGTCTTTTCAGGGGCGCCCTTCACCTTCTTTGCTGACGTGAGGGCGAGTGCTGAGAAAGGGATTCGCCATCAACATTTCTTGGATATCTTGCAGGAGGAAAGGGGCTTTGAGGCAGCGTGCAGCTTGATGCTCACGTCCTATTCCTTTTCGGTGTGTGTGAAGAGTTCATGGTCAGCCTTGACACAGAGTTTCAGCATTTTGCTCTCAGCCTATGGTTTGGCCAACTTCATCTACGTGCAGCTTGACCTCAATTTGGTGGACGAGGAGGAGATAGCGAAAGCCGGTATGGCCGAAAACGTCGTGGAAGAGGTGGTGCACTACACCATGGCAGGTTGCAATGGCCCCGAATGTGGCTCGGTGGTCACTCCAACATGCACGAGCAGAGTCGCCAACGGCCGGACCCGCATGCGCCCATGTGTCGTGCAGGGCCTACACATTTGTTTTTAGCGGTTGTTTCTGTCCGATTTGTTATGTTGGAGGACATTTGAGGGCATCGTTTCACTTGGCTGCACCTTTTAAATCCCATCCAGAGCAAACTCGTGAGATCTTGTAATTACAGGGTTTTGGGCCCGTTTTGGGTTGGAAGATCTCAAGGCCCACAAAAGCGTATGTGCAACCGCACCGTTGTTTCGGGGTGTCCTCTACTCTGATGCTGTTTGGTCTTTCCTTGTTGCTTTTGCGCGCGATGAGGTTGTAAGTAGAGCAAGCTTCTTGGCAGCTGCCTGAGCAGGCCGTTTGCGGACTTGTGTGGCAAAGCTTCACCAGTGAGTCCTGAATACTTCATGACATGGGTTCGCATGGGGCACGAAGGATTTGTCCATCTCCCTGAGGGACGGAGACAAAACAAGAGCCGTCACCCATCGTTCCTGACTTGACGGGCAGGGGGTCTCTGGGTGTTGTTCAACAGTCTGGTGGTTGAAATAACATATAACACAATTACTATGTAAACATTTGTAAACTATAAAAGACAAGTGACCCCAGGACAGGCAAAGGAATTGATACATAATTGTGTATACATATAATATATATATATATTATATATTTGAGACATCAGCGCTCTGAGTGTATGCCTTTTATAGTGTTTCCGCAGATGCCTTTTTTTGTATTCTTATTCTTGGTATTGAGGATGTCAAATTCAAGCACAAACTCCAACAGTACACGAACGAAACACCAAACATACCAACAATACCAAAAATACAGATTATATACAGAAAAACCTTGGCTGGTGTCAGGACCGGCACACCAACAAGTACCAATACGCGCAAAAAACATCTTGTACCCAATGGATACAAAACAAATCAAAATACAAATCCGGTATAGAAACAATTGGCCCCCCTCTCTGCCAACAATATTTTCCACTGATCTTTCGTATTTTTAGCATTGCTTGGTATGCCCTCCTGCTCCTGCCCCAACGCATTTATCCCAGATCTTTTGTACTTGTTTGTATTTTGATATTTTTGTATTTTTGGTATGCCGTCCTAACCCAAGAGTGGAGGCAAGTTTCCTTTACAAGATGTTTTGTTTTGTTGTTGTTGGACGGTTTTCAAATAGAATTTCTTTCACATGGTGTTTGTGCAGGTTGAGAGAGTTCTCCTTCGGAACCTTCATACTCCATTGCAGATAGTGTGTTCCAATTCTCTTGCAAGACTATGTATGTACACCCCGCTCAACAGAATCATCCCATTACGATCTATTGCAAAAGCATCATGATTGAGCATAACAATTGACATGGCCCACCAGTCCTCTTTGGGAGTGCCTTCCATCGGAAAGTCTCTTAAGGGTTTCATCATTCTTGAAACTGCCCTTCCTTTCCCAGATCCTTTACCTTGCAAGGTATATGCTTCTTGAGTCTTCTCCTTACCTCCTTGCAAGCTTCCTCCTTTCAATCGCTGAAAATGGAGAGGATTGAACACACGTTGTTCCCTTTACACAAATTTGATCCTGAAGCCAGCCTACTCCTTATGACCCCAGCATACAGTATTCTTTATCAATCATTCCTCCTTCAATACAACAACAGCTTTTCTGCCCGCGTGCGTTCAACATGTCCTTTAGGTTGTCTCCTTAAAGTATCTTTGCTCCAAAGTTTCAAAGCCTTCTTATTTTGGAATGCTAGGGGCGCGTTCAAACGGTTTAAACAATCTCTTTTGAATCGGTTTGTCACTCATAGAACTGTCTCCCTTAACAGTAGAAAGGCATTTTTGCAAAAAACCATTCATTGTGAGCGTCTCCTGTGTGTGGAGGCCTTTTTTAAAAAGGTCCTCCTCCTTTACACGACTCCTGATCTTTCCAACAGCGTTTAATACAGTATATATATATATATATGTATTCAAACCGATTTCCCGTTCAAGACCTTCGCATTGGCCTGTCATTGCAAGAAGCCAATTTGCTCATTCTTTAACTACTATATATCTCCTTAAAATGCTACTTTGTCTCGAGTTTCCTTGCTGTCCTGGCACATCCACTGTGAGTTACACATGCAACATTTGGGTGATGTCACCAAGTCAATCGCACGAAGCAACAAAAGGTAGTCCTTCTTTCTTTTTGGGTACCTTATGTGTACATATATATATATATATGTATTAGTAGCACGAGTTTCCGTTTGCTCGGGAGGTCCTTGTCTTTTGAGATGCAATGTCGGGGTGAAGCGAAGAACGCTTGGAAGTCTGTGCCCGATGGGGTTGGAACGTGCGGGTCTAACAGCGTTGAAGTCACCTCGGTGTGCCGCCACAGCCATGATCGATGTGCAAATGAGAGACATGCTACGCAAATCATGTTGGCTGTTAATTACATTCAAGAGGATGTTGAACCATCCTGGTACACAACACACCAACACACACACTCTGACACTTGTAATCCGTTAACGCAATTTCACGATGGGAA